CTTTCCCCTCCTTTCCGTCCTTCCTTCCTTCCTTCCTTCCTTCCTTCCTTCCTTCCTTCCTTCCTTCCTTCCTTCCTTCCTTCCTTCCTTCCCTTTTTTCTCTTTCCTTTTTTTCAATTTCAAGGACCTAGCATAGCAGTGCCTCTGGCCCAGCCCCAGCCCGCCCGGGAAATTGGAAAGTCCACGCCCTTCTACCCCACTCACTTTCTAAAACACTTGTCCCACACCAGGAAATAGGGTTTCCAGCTCCTGGCTGGGAAATACCTGGAGATTTTGGGGGTGGAGCCTAAGGAGGGTGGGGTTTGGGTAGGAATTTCAATGGGGTGTATAATGCCGTAGAGTCCACCTTCCAAAGTGGCCATTTTATCCAGGTGAACTTATCTCTGTTACCTGGAGACTAGTTGTAACAGCAGGAGATCTCTAACCACAACCTGGATGTTGGCACCCTACCAGGAAAGGTGTTGGCAGACACTGTGCTGGGGACGCATGGCCTAAAGCATAGGTATTCACCAACAGATGGCATCAAAAATCCGTGTTCTGTTATTTTATTATGTATACTGCCCTGAGCCCTGTTCCTCAGGGGAGGGTGGTTTTAAAAATGGAAACAAACAAACAAATACAAATAAAAAGCAGGACAATACGTTCAACAATTGTGGATAGTGTGTGCACCACTCATGCATGGCTGGGGTGCCAGACCTGAACATCTGAAAAGGGCTGTGTATTATAGCAGAACTTACAGCCTTCCTGCGAAGTGCATTGGCACTATGTCAAAAAGAAATTACACTGTATCTAATTAACTTCTGGTATTCAATGCCATGAGGTGTGGTGACAGCTGCTAGTTTATCTGGCTATTTTAAAAAAAGGAATTTTGGAAAATTCATGAATGAGATCTGCAGCTCTTGAGTATGAATAGAACCTCCATATTCTGAAGCAGTGTACGTCTGAGCACCGGATGCTGGGAGCATAAGTGTCATTGCCTTCAGACTCTGCTTATGGAGGCATCTGACTGGAAACCACAAAGGCTGGATGAGATGAGGTGCATTTTAGACTGACCCTGCTAAGGCAACGGTTCTATTGTTCTAGGGTTACCAGATGTCCTCTTTTGGACTCTTTTTAAAAATATATATGAAAACATCCTCTTTTTGGGTTGGAAGGTTAGGAATATTCATAGTTAGCAGCAATTATCACAGCTTAAATAGTAGGGGTATTTCAAAGTGAGATTTGTCACAGTGATCACTTGTTTGAAGTAGTCAGTCCGGGAACATGTCCTCTCTTTTGCTTTTCAAAATATGGTAACCCTAGTTGTTCTACACAGGAGCCCTTTCTTCGTTGGCCCCAATTTGGAGATCAGTGGCTTTCAGAACTTAGTTTAACAACGGCAAGAACAACAAAGAGCTTCCAGATGTCGTGCAGATGTTAAAGGGCGTCAGAGTTCCATAAACTGCAGGGGTATTATTTTCTGCCAATAAGAGACATTGCACCCTGCCATCTTCTTCTGTAGTCTCACAGGGGCAACGCAAAGGAGAAAGTTGTCCTTTTCTTTCCTCCCTTCCCTCCCATGCAAAGGGAAGGGGTAGAGAGTTCCAACCCAGCGGTATCGTCATTCAAGAAAGGGAATCAAGCAGAAATCATACAAGATTGTCAGACCACTTCAGGCACTGCAAGTTTTCTAATCAGATTTGGCCATAAGTGGAGCAGCAGCCTCGTTAGCGCAGTAGGCAGCGCGTCAGTCTCATAATCTGAAGGTCGTGAGTTCGAGCCTCACACGGGGCAGCAGAATCTTTTCCTCTCGCGGTAAAAAAAAAAAAGCTGAAAACCCCCGTCCTCCGCGCTGATCGAAAAGGAAGAACTTCCTTTATGTAAAAAACCCAGCGTGTTCCGGGGTTCTTGCAAAACTTGGTACGTTGCAGCACACGTGAGCCTAACAGGGTTGCTTCGTGCTTCGGAAGGGGGGGGGAGGAGTAATCACTGAACTTGGGAAATGCGGGCTGCTCAGGGCTTCTTTCTCACGCACACTTTAATCTCTTCCGAGCAAATTTTAATGTAGCAAATAAAAGCCGTTTGAGCCGGTGCGTGTTTATTCGGAAGTAAGCCGCCCTGAATTCCCAAAACAACAGCCCAAATGCGACTTGCTTCTAAAATGCAGAATTTACGTGCTGGAGAGAAACTGTGTCTATGATTTTAAAAAATATCATGCATGCTGTTTACGTCGTTTGTCTCTCAAACGTTTCTCCAACTAATAATTTGTGTGCTTTGCATAATTTATAAGGGCATAAACCGAATGGATTTAGGAGGTTTTTCATCTTAAACCTTGAGATCCTTACTTGAAATAATTGTGTATTTCTTAAGGGATTTACAGTGCAATGCTAAACAGAGTCACTCCAGTCTAAACCCATTGAAATAACTTTTTTTTTGGATTGCTCTCTTAGGTGTTCTGAAATTGTATATGCCACGCCTTCCTGTCTAAACCTATTCAAACCGGTGGGTTAGACTGGAGTATGTTTTTTTTTAAGGATTGCACTGCTAGATGTCCTGAGATTATTATATATGTCACTGCTTCTCCAGAATCAATTTCCTGCAAGGATTCCAAAATGTAGACTGCAAGATTTAACAGTAAAAATGGTGTCCTGGAGTCTGCACTTTTACAACACACCAAGATTCCACAAGTCAGGCTTTCTTCCGCTCCCTCCTAGTCATAGGCAGTCACTGTGGTGTCTTCATTAAGATGCACTCTGTACATGCTCAGAAAATTTCTATTTCATAGGTTGCCAGGGTTAAATACTAGTTCACATTAAACTGGCTTCACAGTACTTGGCTTTCTTTTTAAAAGCTCGTTGTAGGTACTTTGTGCATAATAGGAGTCAAGCGGCACTTCAGAGATTAACACAATGTATTCCAGCAGCATAAGCTTTCCTGAGTCAGAGTGCATTTCATCAGATGCAGGAAGGGTAGATTCATTTGGCAGAGAACTTATACTAAAAACTGTAAACCCCAAGACTTCTAATTGGTTGTACACATTTTTAAAGTGCAGCTGCCACCACAAGGATCTTCACTGTGTGACTGAAAATTAGCATGGTAGCCATTTTGCGGCTGGTTCCACCTCCTGTTGCAGCCATTTTGTGGCCACGGGGTTGCGAAGAGTCGGACTCGACTGTGCGACTGAACTACAACAAAAACATCACTCTGTGTCAGAATCCAAAGATGTCCACCTAAAGGCTCAAAAGCTTTGAGGACCCGAGGTAGACAAAGTTCTCGCCACTTGTTTTCTGCCATGGGATAGCTGTGTACTTTATACATTACTATGTGTTTACATGCTCTTTGTGCAGCTGGCAAATTGCTTATTTCATTATTCTTTTCATGGCCAACTGTTTCAGAAGGTGGCAGACTAAGAACTCAAAGGACTGAAAAGCTGAGTGTGTGTGTGGAATAGTTACAATGTTGGACCAGGACTAGGGAGTTCTGGGTTCAAATGCCTGTTTTAACTAGGAAATCACTGCATGATGGTGGGCCATGTTACTCTTTCAGCCTAACCCTTCTTATGTTCCATCCCTTTGTTATGGACAGTGGGTACAACCCTATAGATTAAGACGCTGAACTGCAGGCTGTGGAAGGTCAGTAGTTCAGCAGTTTGAGACCCGAGTGTGCCGCATGACGGAGTGAGCTCCTATCTCTAGTTCCAGCTCCTGCCAACCTAGCAGTTCGAAAGCAAGAAATTGCAAGTAGATAAATAGGTACCGCCTCGGTGGGAAGGCAACAGTGTTCCATGCGCCTTTGGTGTTTAGTCATGCCGGCCACATGACCATGGAAACGTCTTCGGACAGCGCTGGCTCTTCGGCTGAAACGGAGATGAGCACTGCAATCCTAGAGTCGGACTTGACTGGCTTTCGAGCAAGGGCAACGTTTACCTTTAATAGAATCCCATGCCACAGCAGTGCCCAGGGGAAGACATTACTATTTACACACACATCACTCACAGTAAATGGGTCGATCCGCTCATTTCCCAGAGTCGCTCATTAAAATGTTAAATCGACACTGCCGAGCCATAGTACACATTCAGTTTAGAAGTTGGCTCTTATGCTTTTGTCATCATAACAATGTTCACAGCAAGATATTTCTAATGCTGTTCATAAAAGGCTCTAGACGCTTATATGGCAAGTGACTTATGAAATATCCCGCCAGCAGGCTTATTTTTAATAGTCTAAGCAAGGGGTGTCTGATTCTCTGCAGCCTGAACTTCCTCAGAATGCTGGGTGCAGTTATATAGCTGAATTATAGACCTCTCCCCAGTGAAACTCCCTGCAAATAAACACTGCAGGGAAAATGGTTCACTAAAGCACCCTGACACGCTAGCTTTCTTGAAGAAGGAAGTACTTGATAACAAGAGAGCACAAAAATTATACAATCTTTCCATATTCTTCCTATGGGATTATTTTGAACAGCAGCAAACGTCACGCAAGATAACTGAATTTAAAAAGAATAAGTCCAGTAGCACCCTAAAGACTAACAAAATTTGTGGTAGGGTATACCCTACCACAGATTTTGTCAATCTTTAAGGCGCTACTGGACTCTTACTCTTTTCTACTGCTAGAGACAGACACGGCTATCCATATTGACAGAATTAAGTGCAACAATTAACACAGACCATTTAAAATGGATTATATGTGTGAATGTAATCCTATTGCAATGAATAGGACTAAACAAGGTTGCATTCTAATACTATAAATACTGGCTAACTGGAAGAATAAACTGGAATAGATTTTAGGACAGCCCACTTGGGTTAAAGAGACATTGCCCAACTTTGAATTATGTGTGTGTATGCTAAACAGCTACTTTTTAATTGAGCTGGCCTTTTACTTTAAAATGTTTATTCAAAACACTGGCTTGAAATTACAGTAATACACTGACACATGTGAGTGGTTTCATTTTTTTATATACAAAAATATTTCTAGAAGCATTTACAACTGTCTAAAAAAACCAGTCTCTCTGATTCCCTATATGAAAATTCACTGAAGTTCTAGTGGCAGGCGGACCGTGTCCCTTCAGCTCCACTGTGCGTCTGGTGATGGGGTATATTTCGCCCGAGCCTGTGACGTAAGCTTTTGCCTCAGCTGTCTGACTTCTGCCATCAATTCCCGCTCTCTAGATTCCAGATGTTGCCGTCCTCTGTCTAAAGAAACTTAAAAAGAGAGAGAGAGAGACAAGAATAAGAACTAGCATTAGGAAGGGATTACAGGTTCAAAGTAATCTTTTCAGGATCAAAGCAGCCCCAAGTTATGTCTCACTGGAAAATGTTAACTCCCGGCTGTGATCTTTTGAAGCTTTAACATCTGCCAGGGTTCCACGCCAATGTTTAAAGTTCCTTAAGGGTATGGGGGGGAAAAGCATGTGGAGATCTGGCATGTCTCATGCTGTATCTTGCTCTTCCTCCAAAACAGTGGCCCATAGCACCCCCCTCCCTTATCCTTGCAAAGTAGGTTAAGCAGTGATACAACAACTGGCCTATGGTTAGCAATCTTCATAATAGAGCAGACTTGAATCCAGGTCTCTTTGTTCCAAGTTCACTCACTACACGGCTGCCTACACCTGTTGGTTATCACCATTAAAGCCCTTCACAACCTGGGGTCCACATATTTGAAGGACCGTCTCCTGCCGTATGGCCCTGTGCACCAACTATGGTGGTCTGCTGGCTATCCCACCACTCAGGGTGGACCATCTGGCATCAACCAGAGCCTGGCCTTTCCCCCTGTGGCTCTGTGGAATGGGCTCCCTGTAGAGGTCAGAGGCGCCCCTCCCAGAGATCTTTAGGAGGTGCTGCAAGGACTGGCTATTCGCTGGGCTTCTGAATGACAGCCAGTTTGGTGTAGAGCGTGGACTCTAATCAAGGAGAACCGGGTGTGATTCCCCACTCCTTCACATGCAGCTGATGGCGTGACCTTGGGTCAGTCACAAGTTCATTCAGAGCTGTTCTCTCAGAGCTCTCTCAGCCCCACTTACCTCACAAGGTGTCTGTTGTGGGGAGGGGAAGGGAAAGGAGGTTGTCAGCCGCTCTGAGACTCAGAGTGAAGGGTGGTATATCCGTGAGTTTACTGTATTGTTATTGATTGTTTTAGATGTATTGTATCATTTTATTGGTTTTAATGTTGTAAGCTGCCCTGAGCCGCTTTTGCGGGAGGGTGGGATAAAAATCTAATAAATAATAATAATAATATATAAATCCAATCTCTTCTTCTTTTAAGAGGGAAGGGGGGGAAGAGATGTGGGGTTTGCCATTTTATTTTGGTTTTAACGGAAAATGTTTCTACCTGTTCTTGTAAGCTGCCTTGAACCACGAGCAAGATGAGACATAACTGTTCAAACAAACAAATAAATAAATAAACCCCACGGTCAGACTTTCACAACTTTCAATGTGCGACTGCAGGAATGGGTCTACCTACTGAAACCAACTGCCCAGCTCTCGGGCCTAGGACCACGCGGTGAGCAGGGGCAAAGGGCAAAGACATCTTGCTGGATCACCCCCAGCATTGTGGATAACATATTCTTCCTATAACAGCCAAGCAACCAACTGGAAGAATGGAGAAGCAGCCAAGAGGGGAACTTAAAGAGACGACTCCTGGCTGATACTTACAGGGTACCGAGGAGTCCACTGCTGATGAATCGTTTAGGCAGACGTTGCCAGGCTGTGAAGCAGTTTTCGAGGGGGTCTGAGGGCCTTGTTGGGTCTGGGAGATTCTCAAGTCACGCAGCCTCTCTGCAGAAAACAGACAGGGGCGTTGCTAAGTTACAAGAAGGGCTAGGTACACGCTGTTCCGAGACATGCATTCTGAGCCAAGGATACCCAGTATTTATATACTCCGAAGCAGCAAAGAAAACCTTGCCGTTTTGAGAAGATGTGTAAACGGCAGTGTTCATAAAGGGCTAGATCCTACACACCGTGAGTGGAAGATGCTGTTCTTTTTCCGCCTTCCCCTCCTGTCCTTTCCCAGCCCACCCTCTGTGAGCATTGTAATGGGCAGGCCAGAGATTGGGGGACCTGAGACGGACAACAATCCATGTGATATGGGGGGCTGCAGTGGGGAGGAAGGAAGACGAGAACGATCCACCTCTTGGTAGTGTGTAGAGCTCAATCCAAAGTCTGCTTTTCTTTCAAAGTGCCCGCCCCAACCAGGGTGCAAAACATCAGTCAAATGGTGATACCATATAGGGTATGCTACAATGCAAAAAGTGCTCTCTGTTGAGACCGGGAACAGTGATTGGGATTAAGAGGCACATCACAGGACCGAAGCACTGCTGGTAATGCTTTCTAGGCTACAAATACCATCTCGAAAACTACAAGGAGCCTGAACGCTGGTCTCTTGTACCACCTCAATTCATTCTTACACCGGCATGGGCTTTGGAATAGTCTTCAATGGCAGCCACAAGCAGGACGCATTGCAACAGCCTAGCCTTGAGGTTCCCACAACTGTGCAAGCAGAAGCTGTTCAGCTTTTTGCAATGAAGCAATTACGCTCTACGAGCAGTGCCAACAGACCAAACTAAGCATGAGCTACTTTGGTGCAGGTGACAGAGGGATGGACAAAGTTTTGTATAGTGGTTAGGAGCCAGTTTGGTGTAGTGGTTAGGAGCATGGACTCTAATCTGGGAGAACCGGGTTTGATTCCCCACTCCTCCACATGCAGCTGATGGCGTGACCTTGGGTCAGTCACAAGTTCATTCAGAGCTGTTCTCTCACAAGCAGTACTCAAAAGAGGTCTCTTAGCCCCACCTACCTCACAGGGTGTCTGTTGTGGGGAGGGGAAGGGAAAGGAGACTGTAAGCTGCTCTGAGACTCCTTTGAGTAGTGAAGGACGGATAATAAATCCAGTCTCTCTCTCTAAAGGAAGTGCACTGGACACAATAGGGTGCGGTTGGTCTTCTGCCCAAGTGCCTGAGTTAGAATCCCTGCTGAGTTATCAAGTCCAGCCCAGCCCACCTTGGAAGTTTGAGAGGGATAATGTCCTGCTGTGCCTGCACATGCTCCAGGGAAGAAGGGCAAGATGCACATTTAAGAAGCCAAAGGAGACTCGTGGGGATGAGACTGGTGGCAGTGCCCTGTGCCAAAGTTTCTCCCACTCCATTTTGTCAGCATTATGGCAACTTAATTTGGGTCTGTAGCACCTGCATTCTGTCTTCCCTCTGAGGAGTTTGGAGCAGCAGGCCCCCATCTTATTCTCACGACCCACCAGGGAAGAGGGCTGGACTCAAAGTGCCCCCCTCCCATAGTGAATTGGTCTTCCCAGTCTGAGACCGAGTCTGCATCTGCTACTCCACACCCTGGCTTTCAAGCAGCTGCCACGCTTGGCGGCGACTCACCGAAATAGCCGTCGTCATCTTGAAGCTTCACTGCCAGCTCCACGGCGTCGTCCATTTCACGCTCCAGAAGCCGCTTCCGGTTGGCGTCCAGCACTGCGGTAATAGCCTGCTCCGCTGCCACCTGCTCTCTCTTTTCCAGAACTTCCTCCCACTAGCCAGGAGACAGACAGACAGACAGTGGACTAGTTCTGTTAGCCGCAGCGGTAGGGGTGGGGCTCTACAGGTGGGGCAATCCGAGAGTTGCCTCAGGCAGCCCTCCGAGCTCTTACTTTCTTAGCCTCCTCTTCTCTCAGGGTATCCAGCAGCTCCGACTCCATAGCTCTGTTGCCACGGAGGTGCTTCGCCAGCTCTTGATAGCACGCCTCACGGTCCAGATCCTCGCATCGCTGCTTGTGAAGGGCTTCAGCTCGCCAGTCGGCATCAATGAGCTGTTGGCCTGTCTTGGCCAGATGTTCTTCGGCCAGCTGAAGGAGACAAAGCGAGGCACTTTGTAAATAGCCACATACCTCAGGGATCCCCAACCTTTGAACCTACAGGCACCTTAGGAATCCTGACACACAGTGGTGGGCCCAGCCACAAAATGGCTGCCGCAGGAAGTGGGCCCAGCCACAAAATGGCTGCCGCAGCTTACTTAAGGGAGCAACTTTCAATGTGTTGCAAGAGATGTCTGCCCCTCAAGCTCAAATCGTTGTCCTTACAATTTGAGCGTTACGTTTGCCGGCCTGTTCCGCTTCAACCAGCCTCTGAAGGAGCTGGTCCTCAAGATCTGCCTTTCTTCTGTTGGCATTCAGCTCCCCTTTCATTTCCTGTGTCACCGTTTCCTCTTCTTTGACAAGTTTCTGTCAAGAAATAAAAGGGCACTGCTCCTGAGAAAGATACATACCCAACATTGGTGCGTTAACATTCACACAGCGCTTTGAACACCCAAAACAACTCACAGACATTATTTTTGTTGTTGTTGCTGTCAAGTTGGCAACTTGGTAGGGTTTTCGAGGCAAGAGGCCTTCAGAGTGGTTTGACATTGTCCGCCTCTGTGGCACAACCTTCGTATTCCTTGGAGGTCTCCCATCCAAATACTGGTTAGGGCCGACCCTGCTTAGCGTCTGAGTTCTGATGAGATTGGCCTAGCCTGGGCAATCCAGGTCACAGCAGAGGTTATCATGCGGCCATATTTATGAGAGGCCTGTAAAGCAGGCAGCCACGATCACCCTCGTGTTGCAGAGGAGAGACTGAGAGAGTGCGGTTTGCCTGGGTACACTAAGCAGGTTTGGGGACAGAGCTGAGACTTGAATCTGGGGGCATCCCAAATCCTGGCTCCTTTTTCTGAGCCATTGTGCTGCCCCAGCCCTTGGAAGGTGCTGGCAGAACCAGTTATGCACGCCCCCCGAAGGGCCTGCCTGCACTGCAGGTTGTCCAGCCTCCATTCCACGTGAGGGTCTTCGTTCTCAGTCTGCCTTTCCGCAGCTCACTTGCAGTCTGGTTTTCCATCCCCTCAGCGCCAACCACACCCTCTCAGCCTAACCTACCTCACAGGGTCATTGTGAGGATAAACATGGCGGAGGGGAAAGAAGACGGAGGCTGCTTTGGGCCCTCACCGGGGAGAAAGGCAAGATATAAAGTGAGTGTCGCTGCTCAGAAACGATACAAACTAACCTTTTGCTTTTGGTCTAATTTAATAACAGAAACTTTAGCGTTTGTATGACCCTTTCAGTGTTGGCAGCATTTCCATGTATATCACAGCAGTCTCAACGACAGCCCTGTAAAGGAGGCTAGTACGAGTAATCTCTGAGTTGCAGATTTGGAGAGCGAGGCTGAGAGAGGCGTCCCAAAGCCACACAGTGCAGCTGTAGCTGAAAGGTGACCGGCCAAGAACTGCCTGGATTTTGGCTGCATCTCCTCGCATTTCTCAGCCGAGACAGTGATGGGCTGGATTGGGGAATAAAAAGTTGCTCTGAATCTGCCTTGCTGAACAGGTGGAGCGGGTTCTAGAGTAACGGGATTCCAGTCACTTGCCATTTTGCATCGCACGTCAACAAGAGTTCACCCCTCTCTGACCCAGCGTGCTTCCCCCTGCCTTGACCCCCATCTTGGCTAGTGGAGAGGCTGTGGCTCAGATTCCCTGCAGAGACGGATCAGACTGGCATGAGCCAGAGGCCAAGGCATGCCCCCCCCCCCAAAGCAACACCAATATCACCTGCTTCTTATAAAGAGGAATAGTCAACTGATAGAGGGGTTGCAGTATAAAGTGACAAGAATGAATAGAACTACTGCAAATATGCAATCAATACTTAATAATTTTTCAGTAAGTACAAAATTATAAATCTCACATTTACAGTAATATTATGTTTATACAGATAAATAGATGAAATAGATGGACGAAACTCCCCGGAGCTGATGTTCCGTTTCGCGGCGACTTCTTCACACATCAAACCTCATAAAAGACGTGCTGTCACACGGTCACAGTCTTCCAACTGGATATTTCTTCGCTCCTAAATGTTTCTAATGCTCATTCGCGTTGTATTGTCAAACCACAGTGTCAATAGCGGGCTAATCAGCCTGACACTATGGTTTGACAATACAACGCGAATGAACATTAGAAACGTTTAGGAGCTGAGAAATATCCAATTGGAAGACTGTGACCATGTGAAGGCACATCATTATAAGGTTTGATGTGTGAAGAAGTCACCGCGAAACGGAACATCAGCGGGGAGTTTCGTCCATCTATTTCATCTATTTATCTGTATAAACATAATATTACTGTAAATGTATTTATAATTTTGTACTTACTGAAAAATTATTAAGTATTGTTTGCATATTTGCAGTAGTTCTATTCATTCTTGTCTCATAAAGAGGAAGGCCACAGCTCAGTCGTAGCGCTCCTGGCTTTGCATGCAGAGGGTTCCAAGTTCAATCCCCCCAATTAGAGAGACCGGCCAGTCTGTGACGTGGAAGACCTGAGATCCTGGGCAGCGGCTACCAGTCTGAGCGGACCCTACTGACCTCGACAGGACAGCCTCAAAGGGAAGGCCGCTCCCTGCGCAGCCACGCCACGCACGCTCACCTGCTCGAAAAGCCGCCTTTGAGCTTCCAGCTCCATCTGCTGCACTTCCACATCTCGAATGGTGGCGGCCGTTTCGCGATCTCTCAGGGACGCCTGGAACAGATGCACACAGGAGTGCCGAAAGAGTGAAACTGGTTCACTTTTCTTTGCCGGCCTCTCCCTTTCCTACCAAATATTTTGAACTGAACGAAGAAATCACAGGATGGGGTGGGGAGGAGCTCAAGGGTGACCCAAATCCAGCAGGACCCTCCCCGCTTCCCCACAAAATCGAGACAAGCACGGGTAAAACATCTTCCGCTCGGAAGGCTGAAGTCCAGCTATTCGGGGGCTGGAGACTCCCTCAGCTACTTGGCTCTGGAGAATCCAGTTCTCCTAGGCTCAAGAAGTCACTCTGCAGCCTTTGGAAAAAGAGAAGCTGCTGAAGAAGACGCCTCAGGTAGTCCTTCTAGTGGCCACTCCCTGGCAGTCCTGATAAAAGGACCTCAGCCAGGAAGTGCTGGGACTTCGCCTGAGACCCTGGGGAAAAGCTGCCAATAAGAGCTGAGAATGTTAAACCAGAAGGACCAACGGCCTGAGCTGATACAAGGCAGCTTCAGGCGTTCATTTTTCCTGAGAGGAGAGAGAGCCCTGTTGTCTCTGTGCATCACTTCTGGATCGACTGATGGAGCAGAAAGAGAAAGATGGGAGTGCTGACATGCATAAAAGCAGAGGGGGGAAAGGTTTGGAGACGAGGAAAGGCCTGGGATTTGAGCTGAACAAGGTACCCTCCTCCCCAAATCCTTGGAACTGCACCCAGGCCACCCCCCACCTTCTAAGTTTCCGAAAGCCAGAATCCACCCACTCAATTTGCAGGCTCCATTAAGGTGAGGAAGTGGGACACAGCACAACAGCAAGCCAACATGCGCGTCGATACAACTTTGATTTCGCAAGGTTGCCTCTCGCTCGGGTTACCTTTCTCGCAATTTCGTCGTCGAGCCTGTTCAGCTCCATTTCCCGCTGATCTTGCTGGTATTTCAGAAAGCGCCTCCTTGCGGCTTCCAGTAACTGCAGCTCCTTGACTTTCAGCTCTCTCTTTACGGCGGCCAGCCTTTGAAAGCCAACCCCCCACCGACCAACAGGAATTAAAAGGACGTACATTTTCCCCGAAGCAGCAACAGAGACTTCTTGTGACCTGGTGTGGCTGTTTCCTGCACTGGCCTTATGCATGTCCCCAACGAAGACAAGAGGAAGCTCCCTGTAAGGGGCTCGCCTCCCTCTGGGAGACACTCCCAACAGCCACCGAGGCTGTGCTGAACTGGGCTACCCATGAATGACATGACATAACCTCTACTGGTCTTCGCTTTGACCTTCAAGGCCATGAGCAGTCAGAGATCCACATATCTTCAGGACCGCCTCTCCCAATACACCCCTGGAAGAGCATTGCGCTCTAGGAATAAGAATCTCCTGGTGGTCCCCGGCCCGAGAGAGATCCAGCGGTCCTTGACTAGGGCCAGGGCCTTTTCGACCCTGGATCCTGCCTGGTGGAACTCTCTGCCAGAGAACATCAGTGCCCTGTGGGATTTACTATCATTCCGTAGGGCTTGCAAGGCAGAGATGTTCCGCCAGGCGTTTGGTTGAGGACAGCGATGGTCTGGCACTCCCATCTCCCCCTTTCCCCCTCCATACCAGGGGGCAGGTGGCTACTGAAATTATCTGTCCTCTTGGATATAGCACTGTTTTTCTGACAAATGGTTTTAATATATTTTAATGCTGTTTAAATTTCTTATATGTTGTAATTTACCTTTGATGTAAACTGCCCTGAGCCCTGTTTCAGGGAAGGGCAGCCTAGAAGAAGAAGAGATTGGATTTATACCCTGCCCTTCACTTGGAGTCTCAGACTACTTTCCCTTCCCCTCCCCACAACAGACACCCTGTGAGGTGGGTGGGGCTGAGAGAACTCTGACACAAACTGCTCTTTTTCAAGGACAGCTGTGCCAGAGCTTGTGACTGACCCAAGGTCACACCAGCAGGTGCAAGTGGAGGAGTGGGGAATCAAACCCGGTTCTCCCAGATTAGAGTCCGCACACTTAACCACTGCACCAAACTGGCCTAGCCAATTGAATGAAATAAATAAATACCAAACCAGACTGCAGGCGCTGCGTCTAAGACTCTTTAGTGCTATGTTCCAATCAGAGAGGTCCCTGCCCCCATTTTCCAACGGGGTGAATGTTCAACTCCCCCCCCTTAACCTTTTCATATATATCTATACTCCCGTCTTTCTCCCTGATAGGATCCACAGGAGCTTACATTGTTCTCCTCTCCTCCCTTATAGCCTCACAACAATCCTGTGAGGTAGGTTAGGCTGAGAGCGTGTGGCTGGCCTAAGGTCGCCCAGTGAGCTTCCACGGCAGAGTGAGGATTTGAACCTGGGCTTCCCAGCTGCTGTTCTAACCACTAACCACTAACCACTTGCTCTCCGTGCGGCACCAGGAAGAGGACAGGAGAGGCTTTGCCCTCCACACCGTCACTGTGCTGAAAGAAGTACACTGCATTGGTCAGGCGGCACCTGGAATACCGTGTGCAGTTCTGGAGGCCTCACTTCAAAAAGGATGCGGACAGGATGGAGCAGGTGCGGAAGACAGCGACGAGAATGATCAGGGGCCTGGAGACTTGAGTCCTACGAGGAAGCACTGAGGGACCTGGGGATGTTCGGTCTGGAGAAGAGGAGGCTGAGGGGGGACTTGATTGCTCTCTCTAAGTATCTGAGCTGTCAGAGCATGGAAAGGAGCTATTCCTGTTGGCAGCAAGGGATAGGACTCCCAATAAGAGGTTTCAATTAAGGGCCGGAAGGTACCGGCTGGATATTAGGAAAAACGTTTTGACAGTCAGAGTGGTGCAACAGTGAAATCAGCTACCGAGGGAGGTGGTGAGCTCCCCCTCACTGGCAGTCTTCAAGCAGCGGCCGGACAAACCCTTGTCAGGGATGCTTCAGGCTGATCCTGCATTGAGTGGGGGTCGGACTACACGGCCTATATGGCCCCTTCAAGCTCTGTGATTCTAGGATTCTATAAGTCGCACCTGCGAAACCTCTCTATGCTGAACACCTAATGGAAATAAAAGTCCCCTCTAGGACTGGGAACAGGAGACTCAGGCTCAGAGCCCCACTCAGCCAGGACGCTGTCTGACTGACCCTGTCCCTTCACACCTCCGCCAAGCTTGACTTCTCCTCACAGCATCATTGCAAGGATAAGAGAAAGGAGAAAACCAGGAATGCCCACAAGCTCCATGAAGGAAGGGTGGGCTACAGGCGTTTCGATGCAGCCCTTTGAGTTTTCCAGGGCCTCAGCAGATCAACCCTGCCCTGAGAAGCCAGAGCTCTTTCCAGCGGTGCTCCAAGGAGGCCAAATCCTGCAGTTCCAGAAGAGCAGCCTCCTCAGTTAGAGCCTCAGCAGCTTCTACCAACAAAACGGAGGACCCTAAAATGGAAAGTACCTCTGCCTCTGCTCCGCCAGCTTCTCCTCTTCCTTGAGCAGAATCTTCCGCCTCTGCTCCTCAGCCTCACGGAGGAGCTCTTGCTTCCGATACCACTTTTCGTCGTCCACCTTCCGCTGGACCGCTTTTGCTTCGACCTCATGGACGAGTTGCCTGCAATGTAGAGAACCAGGCTACACTTTTCCATCTATGGTGGGCTTCGAGCAAGCCTCAGTAAAAGCACGGTTATGTCTGAACACTTGCTTTCTATTACTGAACACCTTTAACCTCTGCTTAGCATTCGGAAGTCCCCAGTTTCAGTCCCTGGCATCTCCTGTTAAAAGGGCTGGGCAGTAGGTGATGTGAAAGACCTCTACCTAAGACCCTGGAGAGCTGCCGCTGGTCTGACAAGACAGTATGGACTTTGACAGACCAATGGTCTGATTGCGTACAAGGTTAGTTAGGAATAGAAAAGGGCCAACTCTAAAAATCTAATCATAAAATATACAAAAATATATATGTGTGTTTATTCAACATAAATTAAAATAACAAACAAGGGCCCATTCATACCTCATATAAAACTATAAAAACATACAAGGGCTAATAAGATAGACCTAATCAGATAGACCTAACGCGTTTCGGGCTTTACAGGCCTTCTTCAGAGGTCTAATGCATACAGAACATATAGGCTGATGTGTAAAAATACATACAATTCTACATATACAAAATATGGAATAAAGACCAGAGATCAATTGTTCCAAAGTTTAACCACTGGGCAAGGAAAAGAAATACAGAAATACAAATGAAGCCTCCAGTGAAATCACATGTCCAGTGGTACTTCTCTCTGGTCAACTGTATATTCATCTAAGGTTGTACAGCCAAATGTTCCAAATGTTCTGTATGCATTAGACCTCCGAAGAAGGCCTGTAAAGGCCGAAACGCGTTAGGTCTATCTGATTAGGTCTATCTTATTAGCCCTTGTATGTTTTTACAGTTTTATATGAGGTATGAATGGGCCCTTGTTTGTTATTTTAATTTATGTTGAATAAACACACACATATATTTTTGTATATTTTATGATTAGATTTTTAGAGTTGGCCCTTTTCTATTCCTGACTAACCTTTTTAGGTTCTGAATTCTAGGTTTAGGTTCAGTTTTTTCCCCTTTTTTCTTCTCTGTTCTTTCTGATTGCGTACAAGGCAGCTTTGTATGTGCTTATGTGTGATGGGGAAAACAGGCCAGCGTGTGCACCATGGTTCTGTTTTAGGAGCTTGGGCTAGACCACCTTCAAGCCCAACGTACCTTGGAAATTCTTAATTTCTCCCCCACCTTATCTGCACACCATTCTTTTCTTTTTTCTTTTTTGAACTAGGCACAAAAGAGAGATGCCCCCTCTGTCCCCCGGTCTCCTCAAGCGATACCTCTCTCTCAGGTACTCGATTTCCTCCTGCCGGATCCGCTCTCGCTCTTGTGACTGGTAATCCACAATGAACTTGGGGTACTTATTAAATATTGGGTACTGCCCCTTAGTCAGGGGCACAAAGTCATCCAGCGTATGCTGGGGATGGATGTCTGCCGGGGTGCACTCCATGAGATGGTAGGCCTCCTTCATCATGGCGTTGAGATCCAAGTTGTTTCGGTGATGGAAGAAATACTGCAAGAAAGATAATCTTGCTTAAGGCGCAACACGTTCACAGAAAGAACACTTTGTTCTCTTTGGTTAAAACTTTCCCCAAATCTGCTCACCTGGTTCACCAGTGGGGGAGGGGCTGGAAACAGAGAATCACAGAATCATAGGAGTTGGAAGGGACATCCAAGGTCATCTAGTCCAACCCCACGCACAGTGCAGGAAATTCACAACTACCTCCCCCACCACACACCCCCAGTGACCCCTGTTCCATGCCCAGAAGAGGGCAAAAAGAACCCGCTCCAGGATCTCGGGCCAAGCTGGCCTGGAGGACAATTGCTTCCTTTCCCCAAAGTGGTGACTGGCATTTCCCTGGGCGTGTACGAAAGGACCATGAGAACTAAGCACTGAGGCAACCCTTCCTGCCCTCCCTCCCATGATCTGCCTAAGTTCACAGAGAGAGTGTGAGAGTGCACTTGATGCTATTATAGAGCACGGCCACCCATTTTTTAAATATTTATTTATTTAAAATATTTTAGCTACCTTTCTACCTTTAAGGCAGCTTACAATATACACAGAACAAAAACATAAAAATACATAAAAAAAAAAAAACACAAATCGAAACCACAATTTACAACTAAGCCAATCAAATGCTGTCCTGAATGCAACCTATGATGGGGCTGGGTTGTGCAGCTAAAAGTGTCACACAACTCAAGTCTCCCTGAAGGCAGAGCAGGCCCTGAGAATATAGAACATGACCCTCTCAAACAGTGAAATATTTACCTCAAAGTCTTCTTTCTGATTACAGTGAAGCAGAGGCGCTCTGGAACATATCACGTAAGCGGCAACAAGCATCAGGAGGTACGAAGGGTGGTTGGAGAAGACGTTGTCAAACATTTTTAGCCATTCTTCTCTTGTCAGTACCTCAGAGAACATGGTTTCTAGAAGTGGCCAAGCGTATACCTGAAGTAGTATGAATGAGGCAATTAGGAGTTGTTGTGGACCCAGTGATAATAAATGGCCTTGAATGGCAAGTTTTTTTTTTTTTAATGGACAGCTTTTCGTCACAAAAAAACCCCTCTAGCTCCCTTCTTAACTGTATGAGCCCAGCATCGCCTGCATCATCTACTAACAGCCCTCCTATATCTCAGGCAGAAGGAAAACTTGGTTCTTCAGGAATCCAGACACACACTTTATCCCCCAACTCATGTTCAGACATGAAATATGTTTTCACCTGCCACCACAGGGCGCAACAGCGCTTCCCTCGGAAGCAACGGTGCTACCCTTCTTCAGAAAAGGCCAACTAGGGCCCCGGTCACACGGAGCATTTGCCGCGCTAAAAATACGGATGATAGGCAGATTTTCCTGGCGCAATCACACCGCAACATCTGGGAAGCATAGTGCTCCCATGGCTATCCTGTGGCGTCCCACCAAAGATGCGGACTAAAAAACTAGTGCTTATGAGGTACTGGTTTCCGGACACCGCGGGGCAAGGGCGGGCGTCTGATTGCGTTTCCGGTGGAATCCCGTGGCATCCGGCGCCCGCCGATGTTCCTTTGCAAACAAGGGAACAAGGGTTTCCCCCAAAAAAATCTCTACAGGATGTGCAAAAGCACCCAACGGCGCATGCGCACAAACTTCGGTAAAAACCACCTGTTTGCCATGGAAGCGGCACCTAGCGATTGCTGCTGTGATCGCGCCGCGCTGCTTCTCTGCCGTGCTGCAGGATAGCCATGTGATTGGCACCTCACCCCCTAACCACGGGACCTCAATGGGACGTGTGATCGGGTGGCCGCACGTTATTTTGCTCCGGGGCAAACAGCCACGCTTCCCCCCCGCATTTTCCGGCCCATGGGACCGGGACCAGGATTACAGAATAAGTCCAGCCTCACAGCAAATACGGTCAAGTTGCTGAGGCAAAACACACAAAAGCCTTGTGGCATCTTAAAGACTAACAAGAGTATTATGACGCTTTTCATTTGTTTATTTTTAAGGAACCATGAGACTGCCGTCGGTTTTTGCTGGCCGGAGCCTTGGTCCAAATTCACACGTGAAGGAGAATGTGGCAGGGATGAGGCCGCGGCAGGGATTGCTCCGCTTCAGCTTGTGAGTGATGAACTCCAGAGCTGACCCGTCACATTAAAAAATCTCCATGCAAACAGAAAACTAACACAGCCAAGACAGAAGTTCTAAAGCCCCCCCCCCCCGCGCTTTCTTTGCTGTACCCATTCTGTAATTGCAGGGAGCTTTTAAACTGAGAGGCGCATTCCAAAATGCCGCCCACTCCACCTACAGTATGAAGTAGGGCAGTCCATCCTACCACCTCACTCTCCGCCTCACTCTCCAGCACGTGCGAAGCAGGCTTGCGAGGCCAGAGGGTAGCAATGCCATTGGGTCACATGCCTGCAGTGACCAATGTCACAAGAAAGATTAAGCAGCCTGCTAACCCAGAAGGAATTCCTCATTCAACAAGGGCAAATGGGTTAGTTGGAATGTTAGAACAGAGAATGGCTTCCAGTTAGGGAAAAATAACAATCTTTCTTTGCCCCCAAGAACATTCATCAGGCACACAAGAGTGGAACAGAAAGCAAACAAGGTACAGCCCCCTTTATGGGATAATTTTCGACCCTAAGCAGCAGCCAGAAGGTGTTCTGGGTAAGGAAGGCCAAGGAACCTCAGAACCATTTTGAAGAGGTCCCTATTGGGATGGAGCTTCAGCTGAACCAATGGTTCTTCCTTCCTATTGCCCTGGGGGGTGCTTGTCCACTGGGGCCATCTCATCCCACTGCTGCTCCCCTTGGCAATGGGTGTGCTCTTCTCAAAAACACGCTGAAATTGTACCTGTGATGTTATATTGCAGGTCATCAAATGATGCAGCAGTTCCTTGTCGTGATGGGCCAGGAGGTTTTCCACCATGCTTAGAACATTGATGGGAGGATTGGGGAAAAACTCAAACCAGTGTTGACACCAGTTCACTGGAAAAAAGAAAATAAAACCGCTGCTTGGAGACCTTTCCATCGTCTAGCAACAGCACATAAGTGACATTTCGCCTTGTTTCCCTCTCCTCTGCCCCATCAGGGTCGCTCCATACATTCCATACATTGGAGGTGAATACATGCATTGCCTTCACCAGGTAAAGGTTCCAGGAAGCCACAACTGGTTCAGCTCCTTATTGTGTATACGCATGGGAAGGATAGGATAGGATACACGTATTGTGTGCTTGCTCTCTTTCTCCAACACGTTAATCAGTCCCAGCATTCCTACCCTGGAATCTGAACGAGGGAGGACATCTTTTCTGACGGCACTGCCATTTTTATAATACGTCTGGAATTCCATTTACTTAACGAGTGCACTAGTTGAGTGTAGGGGCTTGGCAGTGAATCAGGAAATCCATGGTTCAAATCCCACTCCCCCACCAACTTTCTAGGAGAAGTTAAGCACTTAAGAAGAGCCCTGCTGGATCAGACCAATAGTCCATCTAGTCCAGCATCCTGTCTCACTGTGGTCAACCAGTTCCTCACCATGGCTAGTAGACACTGATAGTTATCCTCCATGAATCTAATCCCCTTTTAAAGTTGTTTATTCCTGTGGCCATCACTACATCTTCTTGCAGTGAGTGCCACATTTTAATCACTCCCTGTGTAAAGTATTATTTCCCTTTGTCCATCCTGAACCTACTGCCCATCAGCTTCATTGGCAAGCATGTATCCCCTCTTAGCCTTTAGCTTTATTTAAAGCATTTGTATGCCACCTTCCCACCCAGCTTTGGGTCCCCAAGGCAGTCAACAGTTGCAACATAAAAAGAAGCTTTAAAATACAAATTACTAAAATGTGTAAACAACAGAGACACCTAAACAGGAAGGATGGCCACTGAAAATCCGTAAGGGAATGCCAAACGGAGAAGTCTTCACCTGCTGACGGAAGACAATGATTGAGGGGGACAGATGAACTTGCCTGGAAAAGCCGAGTTCCACAGTGCTGGTGCCACAACTAAGCAGGCCCTTTCTTGGGTGGCTACCCTTCTAGCCTGAGATGGCAGGGGCACCCAAAGCATAGCCTCTGACGATGCCCAGAGTGGTAATATAGGGATACAACAAGCTGTGGGAGAAGGCCTGTGGCCTGTGGGAGAAGGGAGAAATTTGGAAGCCCCCTCCCGTTCTTCCCTTCAAACATTTTATAAGTTCTCGTGGGCTAGAGCAGGCTGATTCTGCCACCCCCCATCTGATCTCATGGAACAATGGTCACTGTGTGTGTGTGTGTGTGTGTGTGTGGGGAGGTATTTGTGAATTTCCTGCATTGTGCAGGGGATTAGACTAGATGACCCTGGAGGTCCCTTCCAACTCTTGTGATTCTACGCTATTCCCTCTGAAGCATTCTCTGACCTAACATCAGGCCACTGTTTCTCTTTATGGCTAATTTACCCAGTCATATTTCCTGCATGCCTGGGGTGTCCCCAGAATATGCGAAGACTAATACCTAGCCTGGTTTTGTTCTTTTAAGGATCAACACGGGGTAGTCCTAGTCTCCTGTCAGATACAGCAAAACTGACCTACCTCATAAGGCTGTTATAAGGATTACTGGCATAATATATGTGAAGAGCTTTACAAATGCCAAGTACCAGGTGTTATTTCCTGCGGGAGCGCACATGAGCAGAGCTCCGGCAGTAAGGAGCCCAGGGGGCGGGCACATGCAACAAGCCCCACCCCCTGCTCCCTGCAGCCCTCAGTTGGGCCACAAGGAGCAAGAAGCAGCCAGGTAAGTTGCAGAGCCCCCGGCCCACCTTCAGGTACAAGCACTCCCTCCTCTGTGAGGGCAGATCTGTGCATTCCCCCCCCCCAATAGCTAGCAATCCAAAATAGTCCAGTGGAGCCTGAGCAGTGGGTGTTGACTTCTGACACACTTCTGGTGATGTCAGGGGGTGTGGCATATGCAAATAAGTTATGCTAATGAGCTCCTGCACCTCTTTTTCTACAAAATGACCCCTGCCAAGTACCATCATGTATATTATACAAGAGGTGGTTCCCAACATGACCTCTCACTCTGGAGTGGACCAAGAAATAAAACTCAGACCAGTGATATACAGACAGAGGGAGGAGTGGTAGACAGGAATGGCTGAAGCCACAGGGGTTTCCTCCACGATGAACATTTATTTATGTCACCTTTTACCCGCCTTTCTCTCAATGAGGGACTCAAGGCAGCAAAACATACAACTGCATTATACAGAGTCCAACCACTGGTCCACCTAATCCAGTGTTGTCCATCACAACCAGCAGTGCCTCTCTGGGGTGTCAAGCAGAGAAAGTAGAAAAGAGCAAGAGTCCAGTGGCACCTTAAAGTCTAGGAAGATTTGTGGCAGGGTAGGAGCTTGTATGAGTCAAAAGCTCATAGCCTACCTCAAATTTTGTTAGTCTTTACGGTGCTACTGGATTCTTGTCCTTTTCTACTGCTTTTTGTTGTTGTTCAGTCGCACAGTCGACTCCGACTCTTCGTGACCCCATGGACAAGATCACGCCAGGCCCTCCTGTCTTCCGCCGTCCTCTGAAGTTTGCTCAATTTCATGTTCGTTGCATCTATTTGCTTCTACAAACAGACTAACTCAGCTACCCGTCTTGATCTAAGCAGAGAAAGGTATCTCCTAACAGCAGAGAGCCCTTTTAACTGGAGATGCCACAGACCTCCTGTACGCGCAGCATGCAGGATGACCATGACCTAGTCAATCTCCCTCAGCCTAACTTCCCATGTTAAAAGGTTAATGGGGGGAATCAAACTGGGAGGAAGAACTATGCATACCCCCCGAGCTCTGTGGCACCCCCTCAGCTTCATGGAGAAGAGGTGGACACAAACAAATGGCCAAGGATGCCCGCTGGTGCAGATCGGGTGGCACCCCCTTTTGGAAATCCTGCCTTACCTATGACAGTGGCCACCACTTCAAAGCAGATGAGCTGGTTGTTCTGGAAGAGTTTGACAAAAGGGAAGGCCAGCAGAGGGATGTAGGGCATCTCGCCAAAGATGGCGGACCAGTGAGCTAGAGCAGACAACGTCCTGCGCGACAGAGAGAAGCAACAGTTTAGGAAAAAATCTTGTGGCGCAAAGAGTTAATCTGCTCCAGAGTCCACGGCCCTTTCCAAAGAGCCAAAAGTGCTGTTATTCTTCATTTGTACTCCACCTTTCTCCTCAAAGGGAACCCGAGGCAGCTTACATCATTCTCCTCTCCATTTCATCCTCACAACAATCCTGTGAGGTAGGCAAGACCAAGAGTGGGAGACTGGCCCAAGGTCACCCAGTGAGCTTCCATGGCATGAGTCGCCCAGTTATTAGTCTGACACTCTTAACAACTACACCACACTGGCTCTCAAACGTCACATTGGCTGGGAAGACTGAAAAACCACCAGTGACAAATGTCACCTTTTCAATTTTTTGTTTGTATTAAAAATAGTACATGCTATCGTTCTGTCCCAAGAGGAAGTAAAGGCAGCTTAGAAAGAAAACCAGGTTAGCAAAAAGATGAATGCAACAGAAGCACAACAGGCCACCTGGCATGGCATTCCAACAGGGGCTTTAGGGATCAAAGGAGAGCTGTGTGAAGAGTGATTAACACATGGAATTCACTGCCACAGGAGGTGGTGGTGGCTACAAGCATGGACAGCTTCAAGAGGGAACTGGATAAACATATGGAGCAGAGGTCCATCAGTGGCTATTAGCCACAAGGTACAGATAGGAACTCTCAGGCTGGGGCAAGTGATGCTCTGTATTCTTGGTGCGGGGGGGCAGCAGTGGGAGGGCTTCTAGTGTCCTGGCCCCACTGGTGGACCTCCTGATGGCGCCTGGTATTTTTGGCCACTGCGTGACAGAGTGTTGGACTAGATGGGCCACTGGCCTGATCCAACATTGGCTTCTCTTGTGTTCTGTGCAGTTGAGTTTGGATGAAGAACCCAAGCAGCATTCCCTGAGAAATCTTGTGGATGTCTACAGTTGCAGTGGGTGGGGCTTCTTGTCTGCTTGCTGGAGGGGAGAAATTGTACAAAGGTGGCAAGAACTCCCTCCTCAGATTTCCTGCTGTTTTGGTTGTCTTGAGACCCCCGATCTTGCGATCTACCCTGAGCCCACTTTGGGGAGGATGGAATAAAAAAAAAATCTCAAAATAAGTAAATTTATAAGGTCCCAGGTTCAATCCCCGGCATCTCCAGTTAAAAGGACCGGGTAGTAGGTGATGTGAAAGATCTCCACCTGAGACCCCGGAGAGCCACTGTCAGTCAGAGTAGACCATACTGACCTTGCTGGACTAGTAGTTTGATTCAGTATAAGGCAGCTTCATGTGCTTTTACCACTTACTAGTTTTATAGTATGGGCTGCCTCAAAGTGTGGAAAAGTGGCACTTGCATAAATGTGCCCCCCTCCCCATGTGAGCCGCTTTGGCGGGAGGGCAGGGTAGAAATCCAATAAATAAATAAATAGTTTGTAAGCAAAAAAATCTGGCACCCCTGGGAGAGGAGTCAAGCGCAGCCTTTTCTCCTACTTTTCTACTTGCAGGGAATGGATCTCCTACTGCTTCCATTACATAGTGAGAAAAACGTGATTCCCTCGGCTGTAATACCTGAAGGTACTACAATCCACACTACCACGGCCTTAAAGACTGAACATCAAATATTTTGAAGCAAGTCAGATGAGGGGCTGCAGGTATTTCCACAGGAGTACTTTAGGCACCCCCTCCTGTGTGCCACTCACAGGGAAGGGAAACCAGATGTAGCTATGGGGCAGGCATGGAAGAACTCGGGAGATGATGTCCCTTGACATAGGGCTGAACCAGGCAGAATCAGCCCCAAGCTCCTCCACTGCTGATTGGGAGGGGTTTTTTGGGGGGAGGGGGAGAATGGGCAAGATTAAACTGGGGAAGATGTAACCACTTACTTCAAAGGTCGTGACCATTTACCGCAAAGGTCATGGAAGTCACTGAGTGACTTCAGGCGAGTCGCTGTCTCTCAGCCTAACATAAAAACATCAAGAGAGTCCTGCTGGATCAGACCAACGGTCCATCTATTCCAGCATCCTGTCTCACGCAGTGGCCAGCCAGTTCCTCTGGAGGGCCAACAACAGGGCATAGAGGCTGAGACCTTCCCCTGATGTTGCCTCCTGGCTCTGGGATTCAGAGGTTTAGTGCCTCTGAATGTGGAAGTTCCCCTCAGTCACTGAGGCTAGTAACCACTGAAAGGCCTACCCTCAGCATGGCTAGTAATCACTGAAACAATCCCTCCATGAATCTATCTAATCCTCCTTTTAAAGCTGTTTATTCCTGTGGCCATTACTACATCCTCTGGCAGAGAATTCCACATTTTAACCACTCTCTGTGTAAAGAAGTAAAGACCCATACCCGTAACCTACCTCATTTGGTTACTGTGAGAGCAAAGTAAGAGCGGAGAACAGTGTACGCCATCCTAAGCTTGCTAGACATAGCCCAGGATAAAAATGGGGTACAAAGAAATAAGACAGGAGAAAGACTGGGAGATGCCTCCAGGTCTAGCCTGTGCTCTTTCCTGTATGGGGGGGATGGGGAGTATCTCTTTGTGCGTGGAGACTGCACCAGTGCCTGGACTGTTACAAGCAGAGAAAATGGAATACTAGATTGCTTCAAGTCAAACCTCATGTGATTACCATAAGCAGTGTCCACAAAGGACCTGGATAGCCCAGGCAAGCCCGATCTTGTCAGATCTTGGAAGCTAAGCAGGGCTGACCCTGGCAAATACTTGGAAGGGCGACCTCCAAAGAAAACCAGGACTGGGATGCAGAGGCAGGTAATATCAAGCCACCTCTCTAAAATGTCCTAGCCCCACTAGGGGGTCGCCAGAAATCACCATGACTTCCAGGCTTACAAGCACATGCATACATGCACGCTCCCACAAAATATTCACACACAAAAAAAGTTGTCCACAAGGCCTCGTGTGAATTCACATGATGAGTACAGGCCCAGTGAATTTGTGGCAGGGCATGAGTTTTTATGAGTCACTGCTCACTTCTTCAGATAAATGAAATGAAAACATGAGTCCAGTGACATTTTATTCCAGCCCAAGCTTTCATGGAATAAACGCTGTTCACCTCCAAGGTTCTACTGGACTCCTGTTTTAGTTTTTCCTGCAGATTAACACAACCGACCTCTTGGAATTACCTTTGTAAGACTCTCAGGAGCTTCCGGCTTTTAATAGGATATTCATTCTGAAGATGGGCGAACGCGGAATGGGTCCCTTTATCCAACAGGCTGCTGAAGGCCAAGTGGTTTTCCGGAAGCTGGAGTAAGGACCGCCACACAAACATCCTGCAGTCATGAGACAGATTTACAGAATCGGACCCTTTTTGCTCAACTGGGCAGTAAACAACAGATTAAAGGCGAGGCACGCACCTGTATTTGGCCGGATACTCCCCAAAACCCTTCAGCAAGGCTTGCAGTCGTTTCTTGTTCAGTCCGTCTGGCAACTCATTCTGAAAACAGGATCAACAAAGTAGTTTCCCTGCACAGAGGATAACAACAGCGTTGCCCACTTTCTTTGCTTCTTTCCTTGTACTTCTCCCATCAATTTTAATTTTTTTTCACCCATATAAATCTTGTCATGATCCCTCCTCTTTCCTGGTCTCCACAATGGTTCCTTCTTTATTCCCTTAAATGACATCTATTGCCTTCAAAACCAAGTTACTTCTGTCCCCAAAATGGCTGCCAGACAGAGTTCCGGTGCCTGAGGCAAGCGTGGAGAGCTCTTGGCCCTGCTTACTGGCTGCCAGGAGAGCAACGCTCCCAGACAGGGCTGTTTCCATCTCCCCGCCATAAGCGGACTTCAAACTGCCAGGTGTAAAGATGGTTGCCGTCCATCAACCATGCCTAACAAATAAGCCTTTATCAGCTGACCTAAACTGTCACAGACAGCAGGACAAATGAGTTAGCTTGTTGGGGGGAGGGGGGGACACACACAGAATGGACAATGAGACAGGACTGCCCTCTAAGTATTCTGACCTTAGGGAACTCATCATTTTAGCCTAAGTTCCCACTGTTTGGTGTAGTGGTTAAGTGCGCGGACTCTAATCTGGGAGAACCGGGTTTGATTCCCCACTCCTCCACTTGCACCTGCTGGATGACCTTGGGCAAGCCGTGGCTCTGATAAGAGCTGTTCTTGAAAAAGAGCAGTTTCTGTCAGAGCTGTCTCAGCCCCACCTACCTCCCAGGGCGTCTGTTGCAGGGAGGGGGAAGGGAAAGGAGTTTGTAAATTGCTGTGAGACTCCCTTGGGTAGTGAAGGGTGGGGTATAAATCCAATCTCTTCTTCTTCACTATATAAAATGAGGTGGGGGGAGAGAAGTTTTGCTGACTGAGGAGGGAATTGAAGCCTTTCATCTCTGATAGTGAAACGCTTCATACTGAATCACAGGAGGGCTTCACATTTTTCGCAAATTAATTCCAGGTACTGGAAAGACTAATTGTTGTTATTATTCTCTCCAAGGAAGGACCTACAGCTGAGGTAAGGTGGGGTAGCCGCTTTGGATTCTGAGCACAGCCCAAGGGAAGCATTCAGAGAGACAGACAGACGTGGCCCAAGAAGTGAAATCCAGTGGAAAGCTCACCTATTGAAATTAATGGGGACTGGGGCTTTGAACATTATTAAGAATAGATTGAGAAGACAGTGGAATAGAAGATGATGGTAGTTAAAGAAAATGTTACCTATAAAGTTGAATATAAGATTAAGGTAGTTAAAGAAAATGTTAACTGTTAAGTTTTGTTTTAGATGAAGGAATGGACAAGAAAAAGAGATTTGGTGGGGGTGGGAGCACTGCGGGAAGCCTGGAGAAGAGGAGGGAGGGAGAAAGGGGAAAAGGGTATATTGTGAATGAGGGAATTGTTATAATATTGGCCATGTTGTTATATCCGGATAATAAAATGTTGTTTTTTTAAAAAAAAGAAATTAATGGGGACTAGTTAAGTGTGCGGACTCTAATCTGGGAGAACCAGGTTTGTTTCCCCACTCCTCCACTTGCAGCTGCTGATGTGACCCTGGGTCAGTCACAAGCTCTGGCACAGCTGTCCTTGAAAAAGAGCAGTTTGTGTCAGAGCTCTCTCAGTCCCACCCACCTCACAGGGTGTCTGTTGTGGGGAGGGGAAGGGAAGGGAGTTTGTAAGCCGCTCTGAGACTCCAAGTGAAGGGCGAGGTATAAATCGACTCTCTCTCCTCTTCTTCTTCTCTTCTTCTAGGGTGGGCAAGAGGACTTTCCCACCATGTTAATTAGCAAATCTCTCTCATTTGGATCTTCAGGCAGAAAGCACTTCAGGCACATGCACTCTTACCTCTTTGTCCTCAAGTGACGCATTGGGCTGCCGCCTCAACATTTTAGCGTGGACTTTGTTCCCTTTCGGTTTCCAAGGCCTCTCTGGCCTTCCGGACACCACTCTCATGGTCAGCTTGGGTGTGCCTTTGGAAGGCTCGTCTATCACTTTAAACAAAGGTGGGGGAGGCTGAAAAACACACAAAGATTTTGTACTGCTGGGCTGCAGCTTTAAAAGATGACAGGCTAAAGTGTTGGAGACTCAGACTTCAGATAAAATCTGTTCATCTTCACTGCTGTCTAAACAGAACCCAGAGAGCCGGAGAATCATACTGAGTTGAATGTTCTAGCGGCCATATTATATGTTCCGGTGCACATGGGTCCAACCTGTGGCCGCTGCCACCATTTAAGAGGAAAACTTGGCCATTTGCTGCAAGGGCCCCCTGCTGTGCGGCTGCAACAAGTGATCTGTCCATCCCCCCCCCCCGCCCCTTTTCAAGTGCCGAAACAATGAGCATACCCTGACCTGTTATCTGTCTGGGTTCCCATTTCTCGGGGGACTAGAGATGTGAAGGCCCGGAAAAAACCTGGAAAAATGCGGGGGGAAAAACGTTTTCCCCCCATTTTTTTAAAGCCTTTTTTTTTTTTCCGAAAAATGGAAAAATTGAAAAAAGAAAAGAAAAAAAAATTGATTATGGAAAGTTTTATTTTAACATGATGAATAAAATATTTTAAGACAAGGTGTTCAAATATTTTCCAAATCATTTCTAAAATATATATATATATGGTATCAGATTGATCTAATTTCTGTGCACTGAGGACAAGCAAGTCATTGTTTGGATACGCTATATTTTTAATATGCTAGTTGTGATAATTTCATGCCAAGTAAAAATGTCCATAGTCATATTTTATGTTCCTAAAGTAACAGAATGACTTTCAATCTAGAAAAGACAAAAGAAATGCTAATGTAGCATTTTTTTCAATTTTCCCGAAAATTTCCATTTCCCCCCGAAAAAAAACGGGTTTTTTTCCGAGCTTCAAAATTTCCGGAAATTTTACATCTCTACGGGGGACTGACCTTATTAAGCTCTTGTGTCAGAGCTTGGATGCTATACAGGTTCAGGCTGCCGTTTTCCATGACCGCCGCAATGTACCTTCCGTTGGGGCTGAGGGCAGCTGTGCCGATTCCCTCTTCGTGGCTGCCGACATCAAAGAGGAGCTTGCACGTCTGTACGTGGATAAATCTCATGATGCTGTCTTGACTCAGCACTCCGAGAACCTGCAGCACACGGGAAAGTATTAGAAAGCTTCCTTGGTGCAGAATAGACATGTGTTTGATTGAGAGGGTGATTTAGAATTCCTGGAGCCCAGTCCTACGCTGAAAGTCACTCTGAAGTTAAGTGGGTGTGACTTCTGAGTAACCACGTCTAGGACAGGGCTGTGAATGTTGGGATTCTTATGAATCCACCCAAAGCAGAGAGACAGCCTTCCAAACCAATTTATTTCCATGGACTTAGAACAACGTAGCGCTACTTTAGATTGCGCTGCTAATTGCCCTGCTGGGAAACGAGTCATCGCTAAGCTGCCAAAAAAGAGTTAGGAAGTCATATGTCGACAGGATCATGTGCGAGGAAGGGAGGGAGCCAGAGTTGTGAACTTTGCCAGCATCAAGGCTAGGAATGTGAGCAAGAGAGCTGCTGGCACTCTATGCAAGCCAAATACTAGGAGGTATGCCCAGAGAAAACCCAAGCAACAAGGCAACTTAAAAAGAAACAGTTCTATAGGGGCTCGTGATCCAGCAAGTACGCCTCCAAGCCCCACCTGAGGGCCCTGACCCATGAGCTGAAGACCACTGGGCTAGTATACTTTGTTCCAGTGCTTTACTGGGCTTGATGACATGGGTACTGGGTTTATGAAATGCTGGTAAGTTGACCGAAGAGCTCCTCTGGTCTTGAATGGTGAGAGAGAATTCTGAACAAAGAGTGTCGCCCAGTCCACGAGCACATCAGAGGGGCCCAATCCACGAACTCATCGGAAGGCCTTAGGTAAACTGCTTTCTTTCGCACACCCCTACCTGTGACATGGCTAATACTGACCTACCTTAAAGATTGCTGAGGGTATGAGCATGGAGCACTTCGGATGCTCTAAGATACTACGTAAATATTATGTAAGCATATTATTGGCTTACATTTAGTATGGATTAAAAACAGGACATAAGTATTAGATGTCATCCAGTTGGTCATACCATGTTACCCAACTTGTTTCCAGCCAACGTGGTATGAGGTATCTGTTAGCTCATCCCAAGACATTATAATTCATTACAGTGATCAACAGCTTCCCAGGACTGTCCCCACTGTATCTCTGTATGAATCACTGTTCTGCTTTGGGCACTTTCCAGTTCCTATCTGCTGGAAGCGGTGGCTTTTGTTCCACCTCTACATCAGATGCACAACTGCCCCCCAAAGCAGAGCTGCAGGACAAATACCCGGCCCCAGAGTATGCTGTCCATTGTATCTCTGAATGAATCACTGTTCTGGCCTAGCCTCTGTTTAAGTTGCCCCAGAACAGTGACTCACAAAGAAACAACGAGGATGAGCTCCACCAAGGATAGCTCTAGCACACTTTGTCAGGTGTAAGAGCAAAGAGTGTCTACAATCTGAATTCAGAGGAAAGCATTATATGCCCACTATTGAAGTATGGGAAACCCAGCGCTATTTATTGACTTTGAAGTTTGCCACTCACCTGATTAGAACCGCCATCAAAACTGTCTGCGAGGAATTCCAGGTGGCGAACTGAGCGCACCTTCGTTGGCATCTGGATTATCCTCAACAGCTGCCTGGACTCCAAACACCACAAGTGAAGGTGATTCGACTTGCCACCGGCTGCCAGGACACGGCCGTCTCTGCAGCACCGAAACAACACACAGCTTTAATTGAGCCGGTTTCCTTCATTTCAAGTTTACATGCTAAGTTGTTGCCCTGAAGGATCAACTATGAGCAGGGTGTGACTTCCAGCCCAATGTGACAAAGCGAAGGGCCTAACTATACTTTACCATTTCCCCACATGCTGCTCACCATGTGGGGTCCCATCAGATGGTGTCCTAGGAATCACGTTTCCAGCAAAGGATTTCCAAGTGGGTTGTGGCCTAATTCAGAGCCTTCCCCCGCTGTCCAACGGGAAACCCACACAGTCCAACAAGCTGCTTTTGTGCTGATGGACTATGAATAAAGGTTTCCCGGTGGGGCAAACAGTGGCTCTTCAGGGCTGTTTCAGTTTGGACATGGGAGGACAGAGACTTAAGCCCCCTCTCTCCGTGCACTGTACCGCTAGGTCAAACTGGGGAATTAAGTTCCAGGCACAGATATCTCTGCGTATGTCTGGTCAACGGGATCAGGGCAGATATTAGGAAGGGACAGAGAAAAGGAGCGCCAAGACACTGTATGGTTAGGCTGTAACTCAACTAAGGAAGAAGAGGGCTTGAGAAAACAAATCTCTTTGTTGTCCTGGAAGGCCTACGTAGAAAGAGCCACTCAGATCTCCCTTCAGAGGAAGTAGCAAAGAGAAGGGGGCCCAGTTCTGGTTAACTCAAGTGCTTGGTCTCATGGGAAAGGGCTGAACTTCAACTAAGGGGAGCAGAGTTTAAACCCCTGCTCAGTGACATATGAGGCTGGGGCTCACTGGCAGACCACCGTGTCCTGCTCTCAGGTTCAATGCCCGGCAAAACAAGGGAAAGGATCTCAGGTCGAAAAGTGTTGGAAAAGATTGTTCTCTGCCTGGAGAGTCATTGCCAATCTGAATCGGTAACATACAGCCAGAATGACCAACAGCAACCACATACACCACGTTTATTCAGCATCCTTAAGCTGCTTGCTTGTAAGACCCTGATTGATTGTTTGACAATTTCATTGATTACGTAAGAGAAAGGTCAGTTAATAAGAGGAAATCGGTCCTTCTGTCTGACCCGGTCTTTAAAGTCCATCAAATAAAAAAGCCTATAAAACCTAAGAAGCCTAAAATGCACAGGAAAAGCTAGATGAAGTAAAATGAAGAAATAATTTGGGAAGGTAATATCACCTGATCTGGATAGCCCAGGCTAGCCTGATGTCGTCAGGTTTTGGAAGTTAAGCAAGGTTGGCTCTGGCTAGAACCTGAACAAGAGACCTCCAAGGAATAATAGGGGCATGATGTGGAGGCAAGCAATGACCAACCACCTCTGAACGTCTCTTGCCTTAAAAACCCTACGGGGCTGCCAGAAATCAGCTGCGACTTGACGGCCCTTTCCACCCACCACCAAGGTAGTATCCTAACCTAGGACTACCAGATGTCCTTTTTTCAGAGGACGTGATCTCTTTTTTTTGGTGTCCATCCTCTTTTGGGCTCCTTTTTAAAAACCTGATGAAAATGTCCTCTTATTGTTTATTTATTTATATTTACATTTATATCCAGCCCTCCCCGCCATTCGGGAGGCTCAGGGCGGCTAACAACATATATAAAAATACATTAAAATTCCATTAAAACTATCAATTGATATAAAACCATACAACTTATATTAAAAGATGGCAAATCTTCTTATATCGGCTGTCAACGAAACACTGTCCACCGGCCCACGCCCAGCTATAAAGCCTCGGTTGGTGGCGCCGTTGGTACTGTCGGTACCAATAATGATACAGTTGTCAGCACAGTTGGTAATCAGGCCAGGGCCGGTTGTTGACACAGCTGGTAATCAGGCCAGGGCCAGGGCCAGACGATTGAGGCGGCACCCTACTTAAAAGCCTGGCGGAAGAGCTCCGTTTTACAGGCCCTGCGGAACTGTAAAAGGTCCCACAGGGCCCTGATGTCTTCTGGGAGCTTGTTCCACCAGTGAGGGGCCGCCACAGAGAAGGCTGGAAGGATTAGGAACAACGTTCCCTCTAAGCTGAGTTAGTGTGAGCTAGCTAACAATTTTTTAGCCTCCAGCTCATAGATTTTTGTCATAGCTCAGGAAGGATGACTCCAAGGCAAACTGACTTATGCAGTAGCCAAATTGCCTGCTCACAACTTTAATGCCAGTAGCTCACAAAGTATAATTTTTGGCGCACAAGACTCCACAGCTTAGAGGGAACATTGGTTAGGAATATTCATAGTTGGTAGCAATTATCACAGCTTAAATAGCAGAGGTATTTAAAATGACATTTGTTGTAATGATCACTTGTTTGAAGTAGTCAGTCAGGAAATACACCCTCTTTTTTGCTTTTCAAAAAATGGGAATCCTACCTAACCAAATCATGAAATGGAAACGTAAAACACAAAATCCAAAGAAACTCATAACTAACTAAATATATAGCCGTACACTCAAAGCTCAGACCTCTCCTTCCACACATTTCACTAATTCAAACACATGCTAATAGAACCTCCTCAAAGAGGGAAGGGGAAAAAAAAAGAAAATAATAAAGCATTAGCAATTAACAGTCACCATCAAAAGGCCCCTTGATCTATTTTAACCTTCCAGCGGCTCCAAACACACCCAAACAAGGGAGGGAGAGGAGACTTTGGCACTGAATCTAAGAAAGAGGAAAGAAAAAGAACAAAAAGGAAAACAAAGGTAGAAAACTGAAAACTAAACTTAGCTAAGGGAAAGGGAAAAGACTCAGCTAAACAGAAAGTAAAATGCCAAAATAAAATAAAACTCCTCAAGGATGGGGCACGGTCTCATATCGCACTGGACCTTAAGCCACTAGCTTTCTCTCAGACTAACCTACCTCACAGGGTTGTTGCCAGGACAAACAAGACGGAGGGGGGAGGGCAGAAATCCTGAATGCCTGCCACCCCAAGCTCCTTTGAAGAAAGGGGGAATTTATTATACTTTTAATATACTCCACGTTCTACAGGAGTTACGTACCTGCGTCATTTACATGACGCATACGATTTTGCCCCGGAGCATAGGAGTACAGGCCAGGAAAAACACAGAGGACAACACTACAGGACGGTGGGGAGCCTGGGGAGGATACAGTGCCACAGCGTCCACCCTCCAAAGCAGCCTTTCATTCCCAGGGAGACTGACCTCTGTGGTCTGGAGGTCATTTGTAATCCCAGGAGATATCCAGGCACCATCAGGAGGTTGGCAAGCCTATGGCACACTAACATCCCTGCAGAAAGACTGCAGGGATGTTTTGGTACTCTGGTCAAAAAGGTTGCCTACCCCTGGTTTAGAAGCACCCTGAAAAGCCAGAGGGAAGTAAAGGTAAAGGTTCCCTTGCTCAAAAGCCAGTCGAGTCCGACTCTAGGGTTGCGGTGCTCATCTCCGTTTCAAAGCGGAAGAGCCAGCGCTGTCTGAAGACAATTCTGTGGTCATGTGGCCGGCATGACTAAACACCAAGGCGCACGGAACGCTGTTACCTTCCCACCGAAGTGGTACCTATTTATCTACTTGCAATGTCTTGCTTTCGAACTGCTAGGTTGGCAGGGGCTGGAACTAGAGACGGGAGCGCACTCCGTCATGCGGCACACTCGGGTCTCAAACTGCTGAACTACCGACCTTCCACAGCCTGCAGTTCAGCGTCTTAACCTCTTGAGCCACCGCAGCTCCTCAGAGGGAAGTACTTGGTATTAAAAATATCCTGGTGGTCCCTGGGCTGAGAGCCTTCCCGGCCCTGGCCCCCGCCTGGTGGAACTCTCTGCCCGAGATCATCTGTGCCCTGCAAGATTTACTGCCTTTCCGCAGGGCTTGTAAGGCAGAGATGTTCCGCCAGGCTTTGGGCTGAGGACGGCGATGGGACAGCAAGGAGTCTGGCACTCTCGGGTTCCCCCACCACCACCTGCCCCCCTTGGAGGCTCTGGGTAGTTCGATTTTTACTGAAATTATTCATCACCTTGGAATTGCTGTTTACTTAGGACTTTGTACTGTCTTTAACGCTGGCTTAATTTAACTTGGATTCTTGTGTTTTTGTTCCGACGTAAGCCGCCCTGAGCCCTGCTTGCAGGGAAGGGAGGCCAAAAAGTCTAAGCGATAAAATAAATAAATATCAAACATTCAGCATGACCTGCAAAGATTTTCACCTGTGCGAAGATCACAACATACCGCGTAGCCGCAAAAACTTTGTAACGCAAGGACGAGCCTTCTATTGGAGACGGCAACTGATACTTGCAGTGAAGAGTATCGAATTCCCAGGCAAAGATGGAGTTATCCTTAAAGCAGCTGATAATGGTGTTACTTAGTGGGAGGAAGAAGACCTGAAAATGCAGCAAACAATACGGTACCTTAAAAATGGTAGTTTAAAACAAGCCTTCTCCTGTAGTTTAGCAAGAGCTGTGCTTCAGCGTCTCGAATTGAGCAGACCTCCCCCTAATCTCTGCTGTTTCTATGACCTGAAAGGATCGCGTAAGCATTGGGCTGCCGGGTCTCTCCCTATGGTGGGAGGCCTCCCGCCAGCAGCTCTAGTTGACGGCCACTGCCTTGAGCAGAAGTGGGAGGAAACTAGAAACAAAGAAAAGAAAAACCCAGAAGTGATGTAGGGTAGCTTTAGGAATTGGAGGAAACGCTATTGTAACGATTCCTTGTTTCTGTGTGTGTGTGTCTCTTTAAAAGTTTGGTTGCATGGCTGTGGTAGATAGACTAGAGTGGTTGAAAGAGGCCAGTGTGGTATGATTGGTGGTTGACAGAGAGGGGGAGGGGTTTTGGAAGTGAATCTGGTTGGATGAGTATGTGAGTCAGTCAGTTTCAGTTAGATGTGGACAGTTGATGTTCAGTTAGTGGTTAGACAATAGTTCTGTGTTGAAGCAGTTATAAGCTGATAACTGAGGTAGTTCAGTGAGACAGAGAAACAGAAGGAAAGCTGAGTGTATAGGAAAAAGTAAATGAAAGTTTAATTGAAGACAAGTTATAGGAAAGGCTGTATGTCCTGATAAACTGGAGAGAAACAGTGAACATATATGACCTTGAGTTAAACAAGTGTTACAAAGTTACCTGAAAGATCCCTGTCAGTGAGGGATAAGATTGTGTGATACCAAAGCAATTGTTCATCATTTATGCATTACTAGTTACATTGTACAACCCTCTTATTTAGTAGTTATTTCAAGAAATCCTCTTTCATCCAAGTTTATACCAGCTCTGAATGAAATACTTCCCAGGACCACACAGATCCCTGTAAGCCTTGAACTCGGTCTACCAAATAAAAAGAGCAATAGTGAAAGCATAAAGGTTTGGAAAACCTTAAAATTTCCTGGTGGCAGCCTTATATACCCAGTAAAACAAAAATAAAGAACACTTAAAAAGGGAAACCAGTCCTCCCCAATAAGGAGGAGGTCACAGCTATGGTTTTACCCTCATGTCCCCACCCCCAACCCTCCCACTAGATACCAGGCTTGGCCTGGTAACCCTACATGAGCAGCAAGTTAAGCTAGTGTAAGGATGAGTCCACAGGCCCTTAAAGCCATGTCAGGCAGAGACTGTGTGTGCCACCATCAAGTTGTGGCCAGGAGAAAAACTACAGGAAAACCAAACAGATTAGAGGGATCACCGCAATAATAGGCTGAAGCAGGAGATGTGGTCCTGCCTAACGGGATCCGAAAGCTTCTAGATCGCAGTGCTACTCTTCCTTAAGGTACGTTAGCCTCGCATTGCCCATTTCCTCCCTCTCCCTCAGATGAGGGCGACACCAGCTTCCACTGGCATGAACATGACAGGGTTTCCTTAGACCTAACCTTCTGGATGCCCACAGACTGGCGAACATTCAGCTTCCTTTTCCGCTGAAAGGTGTCAAGATCCCATAGCTGGGCCGTGTCTGCAGAGGTTGTGATGGCGTATCGGCCAGAGCCGTGAACAGAGATGGAGGACACGGAAGAATCATGGCCCCTCATCCAACTAACAAGTTCTTTGGTATCTACAACAAGAACAAAAACAAACACAAAAGCAGCTTTCAGAAAGAAGTTCCAGGCTGCGTTTAGATGTCTGATTTGCCTATTGTTATACAAAAGGTGCACAAACCCAATTTATGCCAGGCTGGTGGATGTGGTTGGCTCCTCTCTTTTTGTGTGCAGCATAATGAATGGTGATTTAATATGTTTACCTGAGGTATGAATGCAGGTATGCATCTTTGTCCCCGTCCTCCCACAAACTGGGATTCTTAGCTACGGTTTAATTCTGGTTTAAGATCCTAGTTACTTTTAAGAACATGAGAAAAGCCCTGCTGGATCAGACCAATAGTCCATCTTGTCTAGCACCCTGTCTCACATAGTGGCCAACCAGTTCCTCTGGACAACCAACAACAGGACATAGAGGCCGAGGCCTTCATAAGAACATGAGAAGAGCCCTGCTGGATCAGACCAACAGTCCATCTTGTCTAACACCCTGTCTCACATAGTGGCCAATCAGTTCCTCTGGACAGCCAACAACAGGACATAGAGGCCGAGGCCTTCCCCTGATGTGGCCTCCTGGTTCTGGGATTCTGAATGTGGAAGTTCCCCTCAGTCACCATGACTAGTAGCCATTGGTTCCTGGACTTTAAAAATCATGGAATTACAACTACATGGTAATTTTTGTGAAGACTTTCTGGAACTTCAAAAGCATGCTTTTCCTCCAAAACTAGGAGGGTCAGAAACTCATGATGTGATCCAGCCTACGTTAAGCAACTTTAAGTCCCATTGCCTGCAATGGAAAGAAGTGTATGCTTCTGTCTCTTCCACAGGAAAGAACACTTTATTTATTTATGTGTACCGTTCTTATTTTCCCCCAATGGGAACCCAAAGAGGCTTACACCCTTGTTCTCCCATCCTCCATTTGATCCTTACAACAGTCACCCTGTGGGATAGACTGACTGAGTCAAGGTCATCCAAGAAGCTTCCATGCCAGAGGGGATTTGAATCTGGGTCTCACAGCTCTTGTTGTTGTTGTTCAGTCACACAGTTGAGTCTGACTCTCCACGACCCCATGGACCAGATCCCGCCAGGCCCTCCTGTCTTCCGCTGTCCTCTGAAGTTTGCTCAATTTCATGTTCGTTGCATCTATGACACTGTCTCTGCTGCCCAAATTGTGCTCTCAGGGTCTTCTTTAAAAACACAAACCTTTTCATTTCTAACAGACTCAGGTGAATGGGAAGTGCCACGGAGACAAGAGGTGTTCTGCGGGCCAAAGACTCTCCATCCAGTTTTAAATAACTTATCACTTGGCTAGTCCACATGACTTCAGAAACATTTATTTTTTTTATCACTGATCATGTTTTGTTTCTTCAGCCTCATGGAAGGCAGCTTATCCTGTGGTAAGCAGATGGTCAAGCAGATGCTAGCCAGGGAGGACAGCCACGATTAAGATGTACAGCACTCTACAGCCTTCTCTCAGGAGCACCAGTCTCATAAACAGTATCCGTTACCTGTATCAAAGCACTTGATGGAATAGTCAGCCAAAGCGACGAGAAATTCCGTTTTCCGGCGAAGACCAGAAGCCAGAGCGGTGCAAGATTGTGCTGTGCGTTGAACCAGGTTAAACCTGTTTGTGACAGTAAAAAATGATTCTGTTCAAGGGCTACAAAAAGGTAACTGACAGGAACCGTCAAAACACCCATAGTGACTGTTGACAAGATGGACGGAGGAGGAAAAGAGTTAGATTTATACCCTGTCCTTCACTCAGAGACTAAGAGCAACTTAAAATCACCTTCTCCTCTTCTCCCCACAACAGACACACTGTGAGGTAGGTGGGGCTGAGAGAGCTCTGAGAGAACTTGTGATGGCCCAAGGTCACCCAGCTGGCTGCATGTGGAGGAGTGCGGAATCAAATCCGGTTCTCCAGATTACAGTCCACCACTCTTAACCACTACACAATCTGGCTCTTCAGATACTAGTGAAAAGCGCAGAATAGTCTCATTTACCCAGATGGCTCAGAAGATATCCAAAACATTCAGGACATAAGAAACGAAGTATGAACTGAGTTATATTTAATGCAGTGTTACATGTAATACAGTATTATGAAGACATAGCACAGTACCAGCGCAAAGACCTGAATAGGATCTTAACAGGGCAAAGGGAAGGGCAATGCCTGCTGCCTGGAAGAAAAGCAGGACATAACATTTAAAAATGAACAGCAATATCAGTAAAGCTAACCTGTTCATTGCCTGAAATGAACTGTACACCTGCTGTTAAAATATTTTATACAGGGGGGAAAAATGGAAGATCTAAAAAGCAACAAGCCTCACCCACCGGTTGGCCACAAGATCAAAAACATAGATATTCCCTTGATGGTCTCCGGCAAGCAACGAATCTCCAGAGCTGTCGAAGGCCACATGCAAGAAACGGATCGTCTTGGAATGATAGCCCACGGTACTGTGAATAATATTTGCGATGACTCTGAGGAGAACACGAGAAGAAGTTAACAGCCCCAGTCCAGTGCAGAACTGAGCACCCCCAAGACTACCAAAACCAAATAAGATTGGTTAGGCTTAACTGCATGGGCCCCCAAATCCTTCCTCATACAACCACCTTTAGCTTTTCTGAGCAAGCAAAACTGTTTCTTGTACATGATTGCTCAGCCAAGAGCGGACCTTCCAAATTTCCTTATGCCATTAACATAACGTCTACTTAGCAGGGACCAAGATCCTCGGAGATGATAAAGAAGATGAAGAAGAGAAGAGATTGGATTTATACCCCGCTCTTCACTCGGAGTCTCAGAGCGGCTTACGAACTCCTTTCAAGGACAGCTCTGACAGAACTATGCCTTGCCCAAGTTCATCCAGCAGCTGCAAGTAGAGGAGTGGGGAATCAGACCTAGTTCTCCCAGATTTAGAGTCCACGCACTTAACCACTAAACCAAACACACTCCATGTGGAAAAATCTTCTGATAAAGCATAACATTTTTGAAAAGAGAAAAATGTAATTAAAAAGTCAGTTAAGTATCACTAGGATAAACAACAACAAATTGTATGATGTATAAGAAAAGAGAACTGAGCTGATGGAAACAGGCTAGTTATCACAGGAAAACCAATGGCAAGACAAACCAAACAAAATCGTAGCTTGTACCCAAAGTTCTTTTAAACAGTGCAAACCTAAACAGAACTACACTCCTCTAAGATCACTGATTTCAATTTGACTTAGAGGGGTGTGACTCTGTTTAGGATCATATTGTAAAATGTAATTTGGTTTTCTTTCATGAACAGCAATGGGCAGGACTTTTTTTTGTAGAAAAAGCCCAGCAGGAACTCATTAGCATAATAGGCCACACCCAACAGCATGAACTCATTAGCATATCGGGCCACACCCCATGTTACCAGAAGTGTGGTCATCCAGCCACACCCACCATTGCTTCTTATTCTGTTTACCTTGTTTGTTGTCAAAACCCAGGGCCTTTTTTTGTAGCAGGAACTCCTTTGCATGTTAGGCCACACCCCCCTAATGTAGCCAATCCTAATGAGTTTCTGCTGTTGGGTGTGGCCTATTATGCTAATGAGTTCCTGCTGGGCGTGGCCAACTCAGGAGCCAGCAGGAACTCTGTTTCTGTGCGTTCCTGCCCAAAAATAGCCCTGGCAATGGGCAGATAAACAACGCTCCTTCTCTCACTCCTCCTTTAATCTGTGTATTTTACGGGGAGAACAATATACCCCGGATTCTTTGAGGAAAAGGATTTTTATCCCGGGGTTAGTAGTCACCACTCAGTTATTACTTGCCACTGATTACACCTTCCACTTGGAAGCACTTGGAAATGTCAGCTAAAAGACAAGAATTTAATAACTGACTTCATTTATACTTTGCCTTCCTCCCCTTATGGGGACCCAGAGTGGCTTATGCTATTTTCCTGTTCTCCATTTTGTCCTCACTTGGTGAGTTAAGTTAGGCTCAGAGTGAGGAGTTGAATGTGAGTCTCCCCGATCCTGGTCCAAGAGGGGTGCCAGCCTCCAGATCCCCCGGATTTACAGCTCACCTCCAGACTACAGAGATCGGTTCCCATCGAGAGAATGGATGCTTTGGAGGGTGGACTCTGGCGTATTGTACCCCACTGAGGTCCCCGTCCTCCCCAGGCTCCATCCCCAAATCTCCAGGAGTTCCCCAGCCTGGATCTGGCAACTCTACCCCCACATCCCCTGCCAGCGGCTGGGGGGACCTGGCAACCCCATCCACTATTATAACCATTACACCACAAGAACCAGGCTAGCTTTCTTTCTTTCTGCAAGGCAACCCCCAAAGAGAGGAAAAAGTCATTAAGGATGTACGAAGGAGAGCCCAGCATGGTATGTTGTGAGGATAAAACGGAGGCACGAAGAGTGATTTTGTAAGCCACTTTGGGCCCTCACTGGGAAGAAAGACTGGGTATAAATGAGATCTTGAGATGGCAGCATTTGTGGTATTCTCAAGAAGAACATAAGAGGCGCCAATGCTGGATCAGGCCAAAGGCCCATCCAGTCCAACACTCTGTATCACATAGTGGCCAGAAATACCAGGTGCCACCAGGAGGTCCACCAGTGGGGCCAGGACATTAGAAGCCCTCCCCCTGTTGACCCCCCCCCCCAAGCACCAAGAAGACAGAGCATCACTTGCCTCAGAGCCCCTATCTATACCTTGTGGCTAATAGCCACTGATGGACCTCTGCTCCATATGCTTATTTAATTCCCTTTTGAAGCCGTCCATGCTTGTAGCCGCCACCACTTCCTGTGGCTGTGAATTCCAAGTGTTAATCCCTCTTTGGGTGAAGAAGTACTTCCTTCTATCCGTTCTAACCCGACCGCTCAGCAATTTCATGGAGTGCCCACGAGTTCTTGTAGTGTGAGAAAGGGAGAAAAGTACCTTTTTCTCTACCTGCTCTTTCCCATGCATAATCTTATAAACCTCAATCATGTCACCCCTCAGTCGTCATTTCTCCAAGCTAAAGAGCCCTAAGCGCCTTAACCTTTCCTCATAGAAGACAACTGTTCGAGCTATCTTGTTAACAGCACTGTTTCCTCTGCCTCAAATGACTTAACTTCCATAGTACAGACCCTTCTTGATGTTAGGAAAGAGAACTTCTGAGCTAGAATCTTCCCCCTTTACTAGAATCATAATTACAAGCTTGGCTGGCTTTGAGACGTCATTTGAACACATTCAGGGTATTCGTAGCAACAGGGAAACCTGCTCTTCTCTTTCCCAGCCTGGGTCTGGAAACTCTATCCCCCTCATCCCCTGCTGGTGGCCAGAGGTGACCTAGCAATCCTATCCAACATTCTTACCACTACACCACAAATACCAGGCTATCTTTCTTTCAGCGTCATATCCAATCCTTTTAACTAGAGATACCAGAGACGTGACACCGAATCTTGCACTTTGCCAAGCTAAGGTTGCAGACAAGGTGTACTGAGATAGCATACACGAAACTTTAAATTCTTCAGGGAAATATTATTTACTGAAATAGATACACACGAACAACCATTCATCTAAAGCCACCAAGGAGCAACTGCACCAAATCAGATTTTAGCTTTTATAATGACTAACCACTGCAAAGGGCACTAGAATTGCTTTTTACTTGGACCAAGTCCTGCTTAGCCTAACTTTCCATTTCCAACAACAGCCAATCATATGGTTCTGGGACTTACTTGTTCCCTGGTACTCTAAAATATACGGGGAGGTTCCATTTAGCTAGCATGTCAGAGCACCTGCTTTGCAGAGCCCCAGGTTCAATCCCCAGCATCTCCATTCAAAGGGATCAAATAACTTGAAAGACCTTTTTCTGAAACCATCAAGAGCTGCTACCAGCCAGAGAAGATGAAACCAACTTGGACAGGCCAGTAACCTTATATAATACATGACAAGTCCATATGTGCCCTAGCGATTCATAGAACCAGCACCCAGCCCCTTTTATAGAAGCAATCTATGCAGTTTGCCAGCTTGCAACTACCTGGCATGCAAGGTATACTGCTCCTGCACACAGAGGTTCCATTAAAAAAAAAAAGCTGCGCTTAAGCACGACGTAAACTGAAATAGAAACTAATTTCTTGTACGGTTACCCCTGCTGTGCTGCTGGGGAAGGCTTGCGGTGCCAGATCTTGCCCTCCTCCCTGTTGCCCAGATCGGTGCTTTGCATCCCGGCCAAGACACCAACTCCTCTCCCTCCTAAAGGTTCCAACCGAACTGCCCCGCCCCAACCGCCGCTTTCTCCAGCCAGAGTCCGCCCGCTTTTGGAAGACACCAAATGCCACGCCGAGCAGGGGGAGACAGAAGCCACCGGCCTTCTTTTCAATGCAAGGGCCAGTGAAGCTCCCCTCCCACAAACTGTTCAGATCAGCCCGAGGCCTGCTGGGAGATGTAGTTTTCCATCGGGGAGAACAGGATCGCTTTGTCAATATGGAAAGCGCAGGTTCGCGCAGCGACTTGCCAAGCATGAATTCTCTTGGATTTAGAAGACGCTGCTTCAGCTCAGTTTCAGTCTTGGAGGGAAAGGTTGCCCCTTCCAGCTTTGCTGCGCTTTCTAACCTCAGGCGGAAAATTCAACAAATGGATTTTGCATGACAGAGGAAAAAGCTGTACCGGTTGAATATGTGGCTTTGTAAAACTGCAAGACAACAGCCTGATAGCCTTCCTAGCTCAGTCTGATCAAATCTCTAAAGCTAAGCAGGGTCAGCTGTGGTTAGTATCTGGCTAAGAGACCACCAAGGACAACTGGGACTGCTATGCAGAGGCAGGCAATGACAGATTATTTGTGCTGATCTCTTGTTTTGAGAAACCTGCGGCCAGGGGGTCTCCATGACTTGGTTGCGTTGTGACGGCATATGATGATGATGTCCTAGGGACCCCTGGTTATTTTTTATTCTGGGTATAAGCTTCTGTATCTGAAGAAGTGCGCATGCACAGGAAAGCTCATACCTTGAATAAAACTTTGTTGGTCATAAAGGTGCCACTGCGGACCCAATATTGCCCAGAGGTCATTCCAGCTCCCCCAGCTCTCGTTGGGGGCGCTTAAAAAGCAATGACTGCGGGGGGTGGGTGGGGAGGGGTCGAAACGTTCCCCCGCCTCCCTGAGCCCCGGGGTGGTGGCCTTGGACTCGTAGGGGCAAATTCCACCTCTCATGTGATGGCTGCTGGGACATCACATGCGAGAGGTCATTCCGGCTCCCCCAGCTCTTGTTGGGGGCTCTTTAAAAAGTCATGGCCGCTGCTGCTGTCAGCAAAAGCTGCAATGACCGTGCGGGGTAGGTGGGGAGGGGCCGAAACGTTCCCCCGCCTCCCTGAGCCCCGGGGTGGTGGCCTTGGACTCGTAGGGGCAAATTCCACCTCTGGCCGCTGGGACATCACACTCGAGAGGTCATTCTGGCTCCCCCAGCTCTCGTTGGGGGCTCTTTAAACAGTCATGGCCGCCGCTGCTGTCGGCGGCAGCTGCAACGGCCACGTGGGGGGGAGGGGCCAAAACGTTTCCCGCCTCCCTGAGCCCCGGGGTGGTGGACTTGGACTCGTAGGGGCAAATTCCACCTCTGGCCGCTGGGACATCAGACGCGAGAGGTCATTCTGGCTCCCCCAGCTCTTGTTGGGGGCTCTTTAAAAAGTTATGGCCGCCTCTGCTGTCGGGGACAGCTGCAACGGCTGTGGGGGGAGGGGCGAAATGTTTCCCCACCTCCCTGAGCCCCGGGGTGGTGGCCTTGGACTCGTAGGGGCAAATTCATCACACGCGAGAGGTCATTCTGGCTCTCCCAGCTCTCGTTAGGGGCTCTTTAAAAAGTTATGGCCGCCGCCGCTGTCGGGGACAGCTGCAACGGGGAGGGAGGGGCCGAAATGTTTCCCGCCTCCGTGAGCCCCGGGGTGGTGGCCTTTAACTCGTAGGGGCAAATTCATCACACGCGAGAGGTCATTCTGGCTTCCCAAGCAATCGTTAGGGGCTCTTTAAAAAGTTATGGCCGCCGTGGCTGTCGGCTGCAGCTGCAACGGCCGGGGGAAGGGGCCGAAATGTTTCCCCACCTCCCTGAGCCCCGGGGCGGTGGCCGATGGGCAATCATGGATTCTCTATTGGCTATTATGGATTCTGTCTTGGCAATTATGTACTCCGTTATCTCCTATGGGCAAGCCTACTCTTCATTATTCCCTATGGGCAATCATGCATTCTCTTTTGGCATTCATGTATTGCCTATGGGCAATCGCTGTCCACTCATGTCATCCCTATGGGCTATCGCTTGTCCTTAGTTTTAGTACGGCCCTGAAAAAGGCAGACTATAAATAACATAAATTTTAAAATATTTTTAGATGTGTGTCAGTGTGATTTTTTTTTTTTAACCGATAGATAAGTTGTTTTGGATCCCCATTGGGGAGAAAAGCAGGGTATAATAAATATCCAAATTAATAAAGCTCTCAGATTATTTGCGGCCATACGCAGGAGAAAGGTGACAGGAAAAGTCACCCGCGTATACACTGGCCCCTTTAAGGAATGGACTACCGTCCGCCTTTCCCTTTTATCCCGTTGCATAGCGACGGGAGGGAGGGGCCGGAAGTTGCTGTTGTCACGGCCGAATTCGGAGCGGCCACGTCGGAGGAAGGCGGGCTCCACCCATCGTCCATCCTTTGCGACTCCGCTGTAGTGACGGCTCCGGCAGCCGCGTGAGGCGCAAGGCCTAAATTTCTAGGCCGGTGCCCCTCCGCGTAGCACTTGGGGGCAGGCAAGATGTCGGACATCGCGGACTGGATCGGGGGCATCCCGCTGATCACGCGCTACTGGTTCTTCCTCACCGTCGGGTTCACCATCGTCGGCAAGATCGGCTTGGTCAATCCCTACTACCTCGTCCTCTTGTCGGATCCCTTCTTCAAACAGTTCCAGGTAGGAGAGTCTGGACTACAGCTCCCGGCATGCGCCGCGTGGCCCAGTCCGTAGACAGCGTGCGGAATTTCGGCGATCTCCTGACTGGGCGTTGTAGTCGCGGCAGGTGCTCTGCGGCATGCTGGGAGCCGTAGTTGATCGGGTGTTTCCTTTGGCCGTAATTGATCGGGGGGGGGGGGGGGACTTGGGCTCATGAACGGGTGGGAGTTCGCAGAAATCCCCACTTTTCCTTTTTTTGGTTGATGGGGACTTGTGGGTTTGCAGTTTGCAAGCAAGGACCCATAGTTCCAGATAAGGAAGAGTGGGGACCCTGACGCGCGTGCTTTATCTGCGGAAGGGCCCAGGTTCCTCCTGACATTTCCAGTTCATAGCTTTACACGTTCATATGGTTCAAAGAAGAGAGGCTGTGGTGACAGTTGCATGCATGCAGAAGTCCCAGGCTCAGTACCCAGTGTCTTCATTTAAAAGGGTCAGGACAGAGTAGTTGAGGTGACAGGCCTTTGCCTGAGACCCTGGAGTGCCACAGCCTTTTAAGGTAGTTTGGTCTTGCAGTAGAAGAGCAGGATTCAAGTCCTGTAGCACTTTAGTCCCCATGGTCCATGGGGTCGCGAAGAGTCGGACTCGACTGTGCGACTGAACAACAAAGCACTTTAAAAACCAACAGGATTTCTAGGGTATGAGCTTTCGAGAGTCAAAGCTCCGTTGGTCAGATAGTTGATGGGGACTCTGAAATCAATTTGGCATTAAAGACTTTTCACTATCATTTTTGATTTTGCAGTTGGGGGGCTTCCATTTTTTCTCCGTCATCCAAGAATGCCCAAAGTACCAGACGGGCAATCTGATGCTATCCATGACACCTCTTCTGCCTTGTACAAATTTAAAGACCATACAGGGTGTGCTTCTCTTACATTGTTTACATTTAAGGGAAGAAACCTCAAATACGCCTTTTATTTTTTCTTGTGATCGTAAGTAATGTAAGGGAAGTACGTGTTTCATTGTCTTTACATTTTTTATGGGGGAGGAGCGGGAGAATCAGTCCATGAGAATTGTATATCCTCTTTGTCCCCCTGGTTTCAGAGGGTTCAAAGTGGTGTGGATCACATCTAGCTGCTGCCCTTCTTGGTGTTCTTGGAAAAAGGAACAAAAATTTCACCATGGAGGTAATTGGGGCGCCTCCATTTCACTGGGTTGGATCCAGCCAGCATTTTTGACTCAGTCCTGCCCAATCCTCCATCCCCTGTCCCGCTTGACTTTTGTCCATGCAGGTCCCACGATCCCCACTGTGGCATTTTTTAGTAGTCAAAGGGGGCCCTCATTACTTTTTCAGCAGCTGAAAGGCTGGTTGGGTCCAACTCACTGTTGCTGGTTAGTTCCATATCAGATTGGTGAGTCCTGTATCCCTTCCACCATATGAGAGGAGACTGCCAGCTTGCCTAACATGGCATTAGCAATCCATTCATTGTTGTTAATTTTATGTATTAGTGTATCTTTGGAAATGGAAGATTTACTATAAATGTATCCTTGGTATAGGCGTGGTCAGGCATCCACAGATTGTGGCTGGGCTTTGTGACTGGCTTTTACTTTCCACTAGACACCTGTGGTGGCTCAAGTGGTTAAGAAAGGGCTTTACTTTTACCTTTAGACACCTGCAAGGTTTAATCCCACGACAATATTATGTGTAAAAATAATATAGTTTCTAGTTCAGTGTGTTGACACATACTGAGTTGATACAGGGAAAGCCATTGTTTGAACTTTAGAGAATTAAATTTGCTGTCTGAACACATGAAACAATTTTTTGAATTTTGCAGTCTTTACTGGTCACCCTTTGAAATTCTTAATGGGGGGCAGCAGATAGATATATGCTGGAAGGGGCTGTGGTTCAGTGGTAGAACATCTGCTTGGCATGCAGAAGGTCCCAGGTTCAACCCCCCAGCATCTCCATTTAAAAGATCTCACAATAGGTGGCGTGAAAGGCCTCTTCCTGGGACCCCGGAGAGCCGCTGCCAGTCTGAGTAGACAATACTGACTTTGATAGACCAAGGGTCTGATTCAGTTTAAGGGAGCGTCATGTGTTGATATATGTGTGTGTGTATGTAACTTTGACCCAGCCTCAGATGCTGTGTACACAGCTCACATATCTTCTGGCCAAGGAAATCTTTTCACAAGATACGAAATCTGGGTCAACCCTGAACTTCTTTCCCTTTGGTGTTTTATTGATACCCTACAATGTATGTGCTGGGTATTTATTTGCTTACTTTGCTCGCTCGCGAGCAACTGATCATTCTCTTTATTGCCAGATGACAGAGACTGTGAGTTATGTCCCTGTATCCTGTCTAAGTGCTGATGCATAACGGGCGGTGGAAGTGGGAGGGTGGGCATCAGGGAGATACTGTAAGGAAGTACTGTAGGAGTGTTAACGTCTGACACATGTTTGTATTTTGAGTAAAAAACAATATCATTGATTTGGGTTTACCCGTGTCCTTTGTAAAGTTTGTATTTCCGGTACCTGGCATTACTTTTTATGGCACACGTGGCCCGGCCCAACAAAGTGACATTTATTTCAGATCTGGCCCTCACAACAACTGAGTTCGACACTTTTGCTTTCTCCACCCTGGCTCTTACAGTTACTATAAATGCTTTGTATTTGTTGTTAATGGACCAGTAGTTTGTCCAGATTTAGAGAACGGGGGGGGGGGGTTTAGGGGTAGGACTCATGCTTTCCATGTGGAAGATTCCCAAGGGGTCAGGTGCTTCCCCCCCAAGTTAACCGGCAGCACAAACCGCTCTGCTCTTGTGGTGCCTCCCAGCCATTGCACTGAGGCTTATGCAGGTGGTCTGTTGAGGCGGGCAGAGTCCACCGTGGACTGTGTCCAATGCTCCCTCTAAGCTGTGGAGCCTTGCGAGCAAAAATTCTGCTTTGTGAGCTACCGGCATTAAAGTTTCAGTGAGGGAGCGATTTTGGGGGCTGCATAACTTCGTTTGCTCTGGAGCCCTCCTTCCTCAGCTAAGACAAAAATGCGTGAGCTGGAGGCTAAAAAAAAATGAGCCTACATAAGGTGTGGGACCTATTTCTATTAGAAAATGTTAACACATTTTACTCGGAAACTCAAACAGAATGCGAATTCTTCGTGATACATTACGTACAAAGAAATAACATTAAATTTTCGATAAAATTGATTAAGCACACAGAGTAAAAAAACAAAACTACAGAAAAACCAAAAATAGATGTTATTCAGTTGATGACACTGAGAGCCCTCTCAAGTTAAAAGGCTGCGCAACCCATTATGTCTAACTAAACTTCAAATGCTGAAAACACAGGTAACAAACTCTCATCCTAAGACAAGCATCTTAAATTTCGGTGACTTTATGTGTTCCCAATCGAACTTATCCAAATTCATTTTATCAGTAATTGGAGCCCATTTATCTAAAGGGTTTAGTAAGTGACGTTCAGCGTCTTTATCACTTAGCCATATAGATGCTTTCTCCTGAAGAAAGAAATCCCACACTTTATGCAGCCATTGCTGGTGAAATAAAACACAGTTAGTTAACAATTTGTTTGTTTGTTTCAACAGATATGGAGGCCGATCAGCGCAATGTTGTTTTACCCAGTCAACCCAATGACTGGGTTTCATTATCTGGTGAATTTATATTTTTTGTATCAGTATTCATCACGACTAGAAACAGGTAACTTACCATTTAATATTTATGTGTGCGTGCATGAAGCAGCTTGTCTGCCATATTTAATGAGGTAGCTTACAACATTCTCCCCTTGTGTGTCTTGCATTTCAAACCTCCAATGTCTGTTTTGTACAGAAGGGCACTGATTCAGCTTTGCATTCAAACACTTGAAATGGATTTATATGTGAGGGTGGATCTGTATGTGATCACTGAAACACTAAATTCTAAAGTTCACTGGATTTACGCTGTTTTGCTTAACCCAAAGGAGATTGTGGAGGGGAACTCTTGGGGGGGTTTACCCTTCTGAGGATATGATTGGATCTTGTCAGGTAATGGGTATCGAGCCTTGATTTGGGTGGCCCAGGCTAACCTGACCTCGTCAGATCTGGGAAGCTAAGCAGGGTGGGCTCTGGTGAGTCTTTGGATGGGAGACCACCAAGCAAGTCTATAGTTGCTATGCAAAGGCGGGCAATGGCAAACCACCTCTGGACGTCTCTTGCTTTGAAAACCCCAAGGGGTCGTTATAAGTCACCTGCGACTTGACAGCACTCCACACACATGTAATGAGTGTCAAGCCAGAGAGGAAAGTGAAGGCTGCGTAGAACAGAGGTGGAACTGAGACCTGGGTGAAGGTGGTGAGCTAAAAGTACATTGAAATCAGAAGCAGGGAGCCACTGTCTCTCTGTATCCGCCTGACTGACTGTCATCTGTCTGTTGCCTGACTCCTGTTGATGTTGCTAAAGTTCCCAAGCCCTGCGTCAGCCAAGGGTTGTGTGGTGGAGGAGCACATGAAGGCTTTGGAAGGGGCTTTCCATTTTTGCTCTTCGTAGTTTTGCTTTTCACAGTTGATGTGTGGCTTGCCTTCAGTCCTGCGAGGGAAGGCAGCTAAAGGTCACATGGTGGCCCGGAGGGTTCAAACCTGCATCATGTACCTCTGTTCCCCAGGTTTGTAATTGGCCGCTTGTCCGTGGAGAGGGAGACGTGTCTCCAGGAAGCCCTTGTTTATTTATTCCCTAGCTTTATCCCTCACGGGGAGACCCAACGTGGCTTGCAGCATTGGGGAGGGCGGGGTATAAATGTCATAAATAAATAAATAAATGATGGCCCGGAGGGTTCAAACCTGCATCATGTACCTCTGTTCCCCAGGTTTGTAACTAGCCGCTTGTCCATGGAGAGGGGGACGTGTCTCCAGGAAGCCCTTGTTTATTTATTCCCTAGCTTTATCCCTCATGGGGAGACCCAACGTGGCTTGCAGCATTCCCCCCCTCCATTCTATCTTCACAACGACCCTGTGAGGTAGGTTAGGCTGAATGCGTGTGACTGGCTCAAGGTCAGCCGGCAAGCTTCCATCAGAAAAGAGCAAGAGTCCAGTAGCACCTTAAAGACTAACAAAATTTGTGGCTCGGTATGAGGTTTTTTGTGAGTCACTGAAGAAGCGAGCACTCACAAAAGCTTCGGTAAAGGTAAAGGTTTCCCTTGCCCGAAAGCCAGTTGAGTCCGACTCTAGGGGGCGGCGCTCATCCCCGTTTCCTACCCTGCCACAAATTTTGTTGGTCTTTAAGGTGCTCCTGGACTCTTGCTCTTTTCTGATGGAAGCTTACTGGCTGACCTTGGGCCTGTAGTTTGCCGGGGTTCAAAGAAGACAGGACACAAACGGCTGCAGAAAACGCTGTTGTCTCAGCCAAATTATTGAAAATTTCCCCCTCCGTCCCTTCCCTTATTTCTCCCTGCATAAGGGAAAGTTACAAGCATACGATCATATTATGGAATGTGTTGATCCCGAAAGCTCACAGCTCCTTATCTCTGGTCCCTTTGCCAAGGTAGCTTCTCACGATGAACTCAGCACATCAGCAGATGTTTCTGCCTTGTGCAATTAGCCTGATACCTGGGTTCCCAACCTCTAGCCAGGAGAACAGTGAATTCATTCGGGTCTGCCACGCAGATGTCTGCACTGCTCTCCTTCATGGGCCAGTCACACACATTCAGCCTAACCTACCTCACAGGGTCGTTGTGAAGATAAAATGGAGGGGGGGGATGCTGCAAGCCACGGTGGGCAGACAGACTAACACGGCTACCCGTCTTGATCTGTCACCATAGGGATAATGTAAGCCTCTGTGACTCTTTGCCTGATCTGAAGAAATGAGCAGTGACTCACGAAAGCGCCTATCCTGCCACAAGTTTTGTTAGCCTTTATGGTGGTACTGGACTCTTGCTCTTCTCTACTGCCACAAACAGACTTGATCTATCAAAACGCTTCCATGGCAGAGTGGGGGTTCAAACCCGAGTCCTCCCAACCCTAGTCCAGCGCTCTAACCACTGTACCACACTGGCTGTAGGCAGTGGAGTCTAATAAAAATTGACCTTTCCCCCCTTTTAGACAGCAAATGACTGACGTGTGTGTGTGTGGAGGGAGAGGAGAGTAAGCGATTAACTTTTGTGAAGTATTGTGCTTCGTTTCTGCTTCCCACGGCACTAGCTTTTTCTTGGAGAGAAGCGTGAGAGAGGGAGGGGGCCTCGTGACCAATGTCCCCTCTAAGCCGTGGAGTCTTGTGAGCAAAAATTCTACTTTGTGAGCTGCCGGCATTCAAGTTGTGAGCGAGTGGTTTGCCTGCTGCATAAATCAGCTTGCTCTGGAGCCATTTTTCCTGAGCGAAGACAAAACTGTGTGAGCCAGATGCTAAAAAACCGTGAGCTAGCTCACACTAACTCAGCTTAGAGGGAACATTGCTCGTGACAGTGATGGACTTGGGCATGGCTGGACTAAAATAGAACCCTCTCAAGTGCGCCTCGTCCATCACTCAGTTTTCCCTGGGAGTTAAGGATGATGCCATAGTGTGCTTGCGTGTGTGGGGAATCTGGCTTTCCCTTGCTCTCTGTGGGTGTCTCTTAAGTCCTCAGGAAGCCGGTAGGTTTCACAGAGTTGCACCAGCAGCTGTTTGCTCCGCAGGGAGTCTGAAATCTGTTGTTGATTTGTTTGTTGAACCCTTCGTGTGGCGAAGCGGTGAGAGCGTTGGACTCGGGGGACCCGGGTTCAGCTCTCCGCTTGCCGTGTTCAGAGGCCGTCCACCTCTGAATCCCCATGCCGAGAGGCGACTACTGGCACTTTACTATGGTTTTATGATTTGTTTTAATTGTAGTTACGTTTTTAACGTAACTATCTGCTTTTATGTTCGCTCCGCAGGGAGACTGAAATCTGTTGTTGATTTGTTCGTTGAACGCTTCGTGTGCCAAAGCGGTGAGAGCGTTGGACTTGGGGGACCTGGGTTCAGCTCTCCGCTTGCCGTGTTCAGAGGCCGTCCACCTCTGAATCCCCATGCCAAGAGGCAACCAATGTTCCCTCTAAGCTATGGAGCCCTGTGAACAAAAATTCTACTTTGTGAGCTACTGGCATTAAAGTTGTGAGCAGGAGCAATTTGGCTGCTGCATAAATTAGTTTGCTCTGGAGCCCTCCTTCCTGAGCTGAGACAAAAATGTGTGAGCCGGAGGCTAAAAAACTGTGAGCTAGCTCACACTAACTCATCTTAGAGGGAACACTGGAGGCAACTACTGGCACTTTACTATGATTTTATGATTTGTTTTCATTGTAGTTACGTTTTTAATGTTTTTAATGTAACTCTCTGCTTTTATGTAAGCCGCCCTGAGCCGGCTCTGGCCGGGAAGGCGGGGTAAAAATCTGAAAAATCAATCAATAAAGGGCCTCTGCCTCCGTGCTCTGTTTTCTGGCCTTCTAGGGCAGCTGGCTGGCCACTGTGAGAGATGCTGGACTAGAGAGGGACCACTGGCCTGTTACAACAAGGCTCTTCTTACATTCTTAAGAAACTTAACGGATGACTTTTAGGCCAGTCTTTCTCTCTGAGCATAGACTATCTCACAGGGCTGTCCTGAGGATAGAATGGTATGCTGTGTTTTCAAGGCAAGAGACATTCAGAGGTGGTTCGCCATTGCCTGCCTCTGCATCACGACCCTGGTATTCCTTGGAGGTCTCCCATCCAAATACTGACCAATGCTAACCTTACTTCGCTTCCAGGATCTGACAAGATCAGGCTAGCCTGGGCTAGCTAGGTCAGGGCGGGTAACCAGTTTGGCGAGGGAGAAATGAAAGCTAAGCTACATGTGTCAGTTGCTAGGCTACCGGTGACACCTTGCGTGCCCCATGGAGAGCCAGCAACCTGGCGAGCCAGCTGTGCTGTGCGGAGGATGGCTCTGCTCTGTGTTTCTCTGCCCGCCATTGTTAAAATCCTACCTATTGCTTGTTGACTCATTACAAAATGAATATTGCCTAAGATCTGCAAGGGAGAAAGTTTTATCAGGCTGGCTTCCGAAGGAGTGGCTGTGGGTGTGGCCTCCCTTGACCCCATGAACGAGCATCCTTGAGTCCGTTGTGTGTCGTTTGTCACAGCCGTACAGCCGAGTATGAAACCAGTGTTGAACAATGTTCCCTCTAAGCTGTGGAGTCTTGTGAGCAAAAATCCTACTTTGTGAGCTCCTGGCGTTAAAGTTGTGAGCGAGCCATTTGGCTACTGCATAAATTAGTTTGCTCTGGAGCCCTCCTTCCTGAGCTGAGACAAAAATGGGTGAGTTGGAGGCTAAAAAACTGTGAGCTAGCTTGGGAGCAAGCCTGAACTCCCTGGGGCTGTGCAGAGAACTGTGCGGTTGGTTGATGTGCTGATCACAACATTTAAATCTTGTAGCCCTAATACCATGGACAGCTGTATTACATATATTCTTAAAGCTCTGATCCTAGCACGGATGCTGCTTCCAGGCAGACATTCGGCTCTGATGCTCTTCTTTCTTCTGCATTTTTGAAGAATAACGATCCCAGATCTCGGACTGCCACCTGTGCCAAATAAACAAATTCTCCTCTCAAATTGTGGGGCGATAGGTTAAAAGGATCTGTTGAAATACTCCCATTTCTCAAGAACTCCCTTCTTTGGAGGCAAGAAAAAAAGCTGTTCCCGCAGGTTACAAACAGAGTCTTGTTCTTTCCTCGGAGTGAAAGCTGCGGCTGTTGTGTCCCTGCATTGTAATCATAGCCTTTAAGAGCCATCCAGCTCCTCTTGGGAGAACGTGCCGCGAACCGAAACCTGAGCAGCTGTTTTGCTGACATCCTCCTTTGTTTGCAGGTTTGTTCGATGGACGGCCAGCTGACTACCTGTTCCTGCTTCTCTTTAACTGGACCTGCATAGCTGTATCCTTCTGTTATGCCACCAAGGGGCTTTCGCCTGTTGTGAGTTCAGGGAGCAGCGGCCACAGAAGCGGTGGGACATACGTGTCCACTGGGCCTCCGAGATGCCCAAGTTAACCCCAGATGGACCCGAGTTTGAAATATTGCGTACAGTTCTGGAGTACTGTGTGCAGTTCTAGTCACTGTATCTCAAAAAGGACATTGCGGAGCTGGGAAAAGTACAGAGGAGGGGAACCCGGATGATTAGGGGGGTTGGAGCACCTTCCCGGTGAGGAAAGGCTGAAGAGCCTGGGACTTTTCAGTTTTGAAAAGAGACGACTAAGGGGGGAGACGGTAGAAGTTTATAAAATTAGGCATGGGGTGGAGCAAGTCGACAAAGAGAACTTTTTCTCCCTCTGCCAAAATACTGGAACCCGAGGGCATCCAATGATGCTGACGGGCAGTAGATTCAGGATGGACAGAAGGAAATGCTGCTTTCCACAGAGAGTGATTAAAATGTGGAATTGACTGCCAGAGGACGTAGTGATGGTCACAGGAATAAACAGCTTTAAAAGGGGATGAGACGGATTCATGGAGGATAAGTCTGTCAATGGCTCCTAGCCATGGTGATTGAGGGTAGGGGTCATTTCCTGCAGGAGCGCACAGGAGCGGAGCTCCGGCAGTAAGGAGCCTAGGTGGCAGGCACATGCAACAAGCCCCACCCCCTGCTCCCAGCAGCTCTCAGTTGGGCCACAAGGAGCACGTCCCCCCCCCCATAGCTAGCACCTTTGAGACCAAGTTTTATTCAGGTACAAGCTCTCCTGCCTCTGCGAGGACAGATCTGCACGCTCCCCCCTCCCAATAGCTAGGAATCCAAAACTGTCCAGGGGGAGCCTGAGTGGTGCCTTCTGACACACTTCCGGTGATGTCAGGGGGTGTGGCATATGCAAATGAGTTATGCTAATGAGCTCCTGCACCTCTTTTTCTACGAAATGACCCCTGATTGAGGGGAACCTCCACATTCAGAGGCACTAAACCTCTGAACCCCAGAGCCACGAGGCAACATCAGGGGAAGGCCTTGGCCTCTACGTCCTGTTGTTGGCTGTCCGGAGGAACTGGTTGGCCACCGTGTGAGACAGGATGCTGGAGTAGATGAATTTTTGCTCCGATCCGGCACGGCTCTTCTTATGTTCTTACATCCAATGAAGCTGATGGGCGGTAGATTCAAGAGAGACAAAAGGAAATACTTCTCGACATAGCTGGTGATTAAAATGTGGAATTTGCTGCCATGTAGCGGTGGACACAGACATAGGTGGCTTTAAAAGGGGATTAGTCAGATTGATGGAGGGGGGGCCTGTCATTGGCTACTAGCACTGGTGACCGATGGGGAGCCTCCATGTTTAGAGGCAGTCAACCTCTGAATCCCAGTGCCCGGAGGCAACATCAGGGGAAGGCCTCGGACTCTATGCCCTGTTGTTGGCCCTCCAGAGGAACTGGCTGGCCACTGAGTGAGACAGGATGGTGAACTTGATGGTCCGCTGGTCTGATGCAGCAGGGGGCTCTTCTTCTGTTCTTGTGCTCTGCTCCCTGTGCCATGACTGACCATGGGTGAGGGGAGCTGTGCTCCGTGCACTTCCAGCCTGATGAGGGGAGAGGGAGCGATGCTCTGTGCCTTCCCCTGCCGGAGGAGGGGAGAGGGAAGCAGTATACTGCCCCACCCCCAGTGCCTCACCTCGCTGCACTGTAGGGTCCTCCTCCTATCCTGCTCTGATACTAGCAAGCAGGTCATCTTGTGGGCTGTGTGAAAGCTGCATAAGAGCCTGATGAAACTGAAGCTCAAATACTTTGGCCACCCAATGAGAAGGGAGCACTCACTGGAGAAGACCCTGATGCTGGGAAAGATTGAAGGTCAAAGAAGACGGGGACGGCAAAGGATGAGATGGTTAGACAGTGTCATAGATGCAACGAACATGAAGTTGAGCCAACTTCAGAGGACGGCGGGAGACCGGAGGGCCTGGCGTGATCTGGTCAATGGGGTCGCGAAGAGTCGGACTCGACAACAACAACAAAAAGCTCTAAGATGTTATCCTGCCTCATACCCGTGCAGGTCTTGTGGTTTTGTAGCTGTTAGTTTGTTTTTTCCTTAGTCACCTCTTGAAAGATTGCTTCCTTGACCGTGGGCCTCAGGGTAAGTGCCTCTCCATTCCTCCCAAGGATCTGTTGTGCAAGCGGACCCTTCTGCATTTCTTTCTGTGCTCTGGTGCAAATACGGGGATACGAAATAGGTGTGCCTCCTGTCAAGTAAGAATGGCAAGCGCAAGTAAGTGGCAGGCGGTCACTCCGGTCTTTGTTCAAAAGCGTGCGATGGCGGAGAAGGGATGGGTCAGCATTGGTAACAGAAAAGCACCGTGTCAAAGTACTTGCGCGCCATTGCTGCTTGACGTTATTCACACTGGTTTTGTATTCTGGGGAGGGACTGTGGCTCTGGGGAAGAGTACCTCCTTTGCATGCAGAAGGTCCAGAGTTCAATCCCAGCACCTCCAGCTGAAAGGACCAGGCAGTGGGTGATGTGAAAGACCTCTCCCTGAGACCCTGGAGGAGGAGGAGGAGGAGGAGGAGGAGTCTCAGAGCAGCTTACAATCCCTTTCCCTTCCCCTCCCCACAACAGACACCCTGTGAGGTAGGTGGGGCTGAGAGAGCTCTTTTGAGGACTGCTCTTGAGAGACCAGCTCTGAGAAAACTTGTGACTGACCCAAAGTCACACCAGCAGCTGCATGTGAAGGCGTGGGGAACCAAGCCCGGTTTCCCCAGACTGAAGTCTGTGCTCCTAACCACTACGCCAAACTGGAGGGCCGCTGCCAGTCTGAGTAGACAATACTGATTCGGCTGGACCAGAGAATGGTCTTGATTCTGTATAAGGCCGCTTTTATTTGGGTGTGGTTGCTGGAGTGCAAAATTGTTAGCCGCCTTGAGCCAGTTATCTGGAAAGGTGGGATATAAATGTAAACAATACATAAATAATTAAAATACCATTTAAAATGCCTAAGATAACAAGTCTCTTGTTAGTTGTGGGAGTAAAATAATGAGGCGTATCGATTTTTAGAAGACGGGTGCTGGAGGACTAATGGCCCTAATTCTGCCCTGCATTCCAGGCCCTTGGACCAGGAAGGCAGGGGTTTCCAGCTGTTCCCCTTTTCCAAACCCGGAGGGATTCTGTGGACAACAAATCTTCCTCCTCAGCTCTGGTTTCTCTTGCTCTCCCACCTGGTACTTTTAGACAGAGTGACATGACTTTGAAGACATGACGCTGCTTTCTACTGTCAAGATTAGTATTGCCTTCTCTGACTGGCTGCAGATCTCCAGGGTCTCAGGCAGAGATCTTTCCCATCACCTTTTAACAGGAGATGCCAGGGATTGAAACTGGGTCCTCCCGCATGCAGACTGGACACTCTTCTGCTGAGCCGTGACCTGTTTTCCTTGTGGCTGCTTCAACATGTGCGTTCCTGTCCAAAAGTCTTGTGTTTCATAATACCGACTGGGGCACGTCCCTGAACGCACCTTGGTGGCTGCCTCTTCTATCCATGGCCTTTGTCTCTATCGTAATCTAATAATGATGAGAAATTGCTGTAAAGTTCACAAATCACAATGAATAGACAATAATAATTCATTGTGATTTGTGAACGTTACAGCAATTTCTCATCATTATTATTGTACTGCTTTGAATTGCTGGTCCCCCTTGTATATATTTCTATCGTAATCTAAACATTTGTACCCTGCCTTTCCTCTGTGCCTCAAGGTGGCTTACAATACATAACTAAAAACATCCAAGTGACAAACATCCTGATTCACCACAACCTAATAAAGCGCCTGCAGTTTACACTCCATTGAAATCACAAGTCAATAACAGCCTTACAGCGTCTCCTCTTGCCCCTCTCCAGCGCCCCCGGGAGTTTGCCACGACAGCACAAAGGCAGGAAAGGAGAATTACACTTCTTAATCTTGATATTTTAGATGCCAGCCAGTCTTTTGGCTGAGGCACCACGTTTTGTTTATTGTAGAAGAAGTCATGTGCGTATTTTCAGAAGGCTAGACTTGATGCTCCTGTCAAAACTCCCCTTCCCTCTTTACAGCAGTGCGTCTCTGGATAGGCTTCAGTTAAAGGTCATGTTGGAAGTAACTCAACAACTGCTTTTTTGGTTTGCATTTTACAGTGGTTGCAATTCCTCAAGAGTCAATGGAGAATTCTGAATAAGCGGGCCAAAAAATAAAATAAAAATCGGCAATGTCCCCAGAATTTATTTATATATAAATATTTACACACACACACACATATATTTTTAATTTATCCATGTCCCCTGGGTTTATTTATTTATATTTTATATAAAATAAAAATCTGCAATGTCCCCTGGATTTATTTAGTTATCTCTCCAAAGCTACCCAAAGCCTCTTACGTCATTCTCCTCTCCTCCCTTTTATCCTCACGATGACCCTGTGAGGTAGGCTAGGCTGAGAGTCTGTGACTGGCCCGAGGTCACCTCATAAGCTTCCATGGCAGAACGGGGGCTCGAACCCGGGTCTCCCAGATCCTGGTCCGACACTTTAACCGCTACACCATGCTGGCTCTCAGTTCAGTTTGTTGGCACAAAGACGTAGTCCACTGTGGGTGGCATCATCGGATTTGAAGAAGCAGCTCATTTTAATTTGTCTCCGATCCCGAGAGCTGGGCTTGCTTGCTTGGGTGCCCAGTCTCCGGCACTGGGACTTAAGTGCTGGGATGAGCACAGTCCGGAATGGGGTGCTTCTCTTGGCACCCGGCCTACATTGTTTTTGTTTGTTTGTTTGTTTGTTTTTTATAAAATTTAAAATACAGTCAGTAGCTATAAGTCGAAACAGCAGCAAAAAATAAAATTGGGAAGGGGGACACATTCACGATATCTGGGGAGTTTCCTCAATACAAGTAATGAACTTGTGGATGAGCAGGAGCGTTCAGCCTTGAAGCAAATGTGACAGCCTCAATTGATGTGGAAATACTCTTAATTGGTTCAGTGGATGCAGCCACTTATCACCCCCTATTGTCAATATATTGCACCATCAACCAAACAGTAGCCCTTCATATTTTGGAGTAGCCCTTCATATTTTGGGGCACCCGGCCTACATAGCTTGTGACCCATCAGGCTGAATGCTGCCCTGTCGGCCGTACATTTTGGCTCATCTGGGGGTTTTTTTGCCAGCCCAGGTGAGCAGCTGAACCTGTACCAGGCTCCCGATGGGCTGCCTAATGTGGCCGGGAGAGTCGCCTGTTAGTTTGGCAGGCTGCACGGGGTCCAGGCCTGCCTCACACTTCAAAGTTTCGGAGAGTCCTCTCTGGGTGCAAGAAAACTGGGCACGAGGCTTCTCTGCTTCCCCGTTGGTTGTGAATTCTCTGGAGTTGCACTGGTCTCCCGTTCACGCTGCCGGGTCTCGTTTCTCTTGCAGGTGATGATGGTGGCCGGAGTCATGTCCGTGATTTACATCTGGGCCCAGGCGAACAAAGACGTGACTGTATCGTTTTTGTTTGGGACGCAGTTTAAGGTAGGCGGAGTGGCCGGGCTGCTGCCCCCGGAGCCTTTGGCTCGACCCCTGTGCTCTTCACCCTCCTGCTGAGGAGGCGAGGTTGTATTCTCGCCCCCACCCCCATGTCTGGTAAGCCCACCCAGATCATTGAGGGAACGCAGGTGTGGGGCTTCCCTTTGGCTGTGCTGACTCGCCCACCCTCTGCAGTCCTGGGTGGGTTTGGGCCAGGCTCAGGATGGGAAGGAGAGGGGGTTCAGGCACCCCGATCCTCTTCCTTCCCTTCAAGTGAGCGCGCTCTTTCTTTCTCTCTCTCTCTGGCCCTGTGTGCTCCACCCGGTTTTCTCTCCCTGGCTTGGCTTGGAAGCTTTGAAAGGGGATGAGATAGATTCATGGCTCTGTCAGTGGCTACTAGCCATGGTGACTGAAGGGAACCTCCACGTTCGGAGGCACTAAGCCTCAGAATCCCAGCTACAAGCATGGACCCGGCTACAATTCAAAAGGGAATTAGATAAGCATATGGAGCAGAGGTCCATCAGTGGCTATTAGCCACAAGGTATAGATAGGGGCTCTGGGGCAAGTGATGCTCTGTCATCTTGGTGCTTGGGGGGGGGTCAACAGTGGGAGGGCTTCTAACGTCCTGGCCCCACTGGTGGACCGCCTGATGGCACCGGGTATTTCTGGCCACCGTGTGATACAGAGTGTTGGACTGGATGGGCCTTTGGCCTGATCCAACATTGGCATCTCTTATGTTAACATAAGAACATAAGAGATGCCAATGTTGGATCAGGCCAAAGGCCCATCCAGTCCAACACTCTGTATCACACGGTGGCCAGAAATACCAGGTGCCATCAGGAGGTCCACCAGTGTTCTTAATCCCAGAGCCAGGAGGCAACCTCAGGGGAAGGCCTCGGCCTCTATGTCCTGTTGTAGGCCCTCCGAAGGAACTGGTTGGCCACTGTGTGAGATGGGATGCTGGGTCTGATCCAGCTCTTGTGTTCTTAATGGGGCCACTACTTGGTTGGGGCCTGTTGCCGCCTGCCCCACGGCTCCCTGCCGCCTCCCTCTCCGTGTAAGGGCCCTTAGGACACTGGGCTGTTTGTGGCTTGGCCAGTGGGTGGGAGGCTAAGTCAGGGTCTGGAGCCAGCCTTGGACAGCCGGCTCTGGGTAGTTAGTTGCTTTTGCTGCCGCTAAAGATGCTTCACTTCGGGTCTTGACAGCAACCACCCTCTGAGGTAGATTAGGCTGAGGGCGGGTGACTGCCCCAAGGTCACCTGGCGGGCTTCCATGGCAGAGCGGAGATCTGAACCTGGATCGTCCAGATCCTGCTCTGACATTCTGACTTCCACACCACACTGGCTGTCTGAGCATCGGATATTAAGCCCTGCCCTGGATGGCCCAGGCTAGCCCGGTCTCATCAGATCTCAGAAGCTAAGCAGGGTCAGCCCTGGTTAGGGCTTGGGTGGGAGACCGCCAAGGAAGTCTTAAGGTTGCTATGCAGAGGCAGACAGCGGCAAGCCACCTCTGCAGGGGTCATTTCATAGAAAAGAGGTGCAGGAGCTCATTAGCATAACTATAACTCATTAGCATAACTTATTTGCATATGCCACACACCCTGACATCACCGGAAGTGTATCAGAAGGCAACACCCACCACTCAGGCTCCACTGGACTCTTTTGGATTGCTAACTAGGGGGGGGGGATGCGCAGATCTGCCCTCACAGAGGAGGGAGAGCTTGTACCTGAATAAACCTTGGCCTTAAAGGTGCCACTGGACTGTTTTGGATTGCTGTCGGGGGGGAGGCTCTGCAACCTACTTGGCTGATTCTTGCTCCTTGTGGCTTGGGGCTGCTGGGAGCAGGGGGCGGGGCTTGTTGCATGTGCCCGCCCCCTGGGCTCTTTACTGCCGGAGCTCCGCTCCTGTGTGCTCCTGCAGGAAATGACCCCTGCACCTCTGAACCTCCCTTGCTTTGAAAACCCTACTGGGTTGCCACAAACAACTGGATGGCACTTCACGCATATAATATTAAGGACTAGTCATGAAGTCTTTCTGCATCGTTTCTTGACACCTCCCTAACTATCTCATCCCAGATCTCTACTCTTAACTGCCTCCTGTTTTATGTTGTCTGTCTGTGCGTGTGTGGGGTGGGTGGGTTAATTCTGTTGTGGAATATGATACTTCACGTAACAGAGTTGAGTTGTGAAACTCACTGCTGTGAGATACGGTGATGGCCGTTGGGTGAATACATTTTAAAGGGGTTGCCCAAATTGTAATGGAGGGTGGGTCAGTTCTTGGCCGTTAGTTCCGTGGTCACTAAATGGGACCTCGTGTTTCAGAGGCGGGACCCCATTGATTTCTCGGATGCTGGGGAGCGGTTAGCAGGTGAAAGGTTTGTCCGCAGGTTCTGCTTGTGACACCTACCTGGCCAGTTCTGTAAATGGGATGTGGGACTAGGTGGACCATCGGTCTGATCGAGCAAAGCTGCTTCTGTGTTGGCTGCGGAGTTCAGCTCGGGGAAGGAGGCACGGCGACGAGGGGAGGTTTGCAAAGGGAAGAAGAGAACTGGGAAGGCGCCCTTCTTTGGGGAGGAAGAAAATGGCGTCTTTGGGTGGGGCAGAAATAAGTGGAAGGAACCTAGTTGGGATTTGGTGGGGCGGTAAATAGATTTGTAAGGAGACAAAGAAGAGAGAGAAGGCAGCACGGTATAGCCCCATCCCGTCAGATCTCAGAAGTTAAGCGGGGTCTGTACTTGGTTTGGTTACCACCATGGAAGACTCTGCAGAGGAAGGCCATGGCAAACCACCTCTACTTCTCACTTGCCTTGAAAGCCTCTTGCTGGGGTCGCCGTAAGTCCTCTGGTACTTGATGGCACTTTACCCGCACAAGGAGTCTCTCGGATTTTAATGTCCAAGGGAGAAATTCTTTGAAATATTGAATTGGATCCCAGAGATCTCCTAAGATCCATGCCACTGAAGGCGGCACTTCCCTCTGCTACCATTTGAGGAACGGATGTACGGGATCCAACTCGCTGTCAGGTGCCTTTGTCCTCTGGACGGAACAGAGTTTTCGAAATCATTTTTTGAAAAAACCTTTTTATATCTCGGGGGAAGCATCCTGTGCTCGAAATCGAATCCGTTGCGTTTCAGCTGCCTGCTGTGCAATTAGCTAGTTGGTGATTTGTTTATGTATTTATTTATTATTTATTTCCTTCCGTTTGTATCCCGCCCTCCCCACAAAGCAGGCTCAGAGCGGGTTCCAACCTATAATAATCTGCTGAGTGCAGATTTACATCCTAAAAACAGAATAACAAAAGACATACAATAAATACAGTAAAATAAGTCCAACACGAAATATTTGAAAATAAATTATATCTCAACGGACACATGAAAGTGACTCATGGGGGGGGAGGGGGGAGGCCAGATGGAGTTGGATACCTGCTGCCTCAACTGAAGGCCTGGAGGAAGAGCCCCGTCTTGCAGGCCCTGCAGAACTGCAAAAGCCCTCGTAGGGCCCTAATTTCAGACGGGAGCTCATTCCACCAGGCGGGGTCCCAGGCCGAAAAAGATTCGGCCTTAGTTGAGGCGAGTCGGATATCCCTAGGGCCAGGGACCGTCAGCAGATGTTGATTCGAAGAGCGCCATGCCCTCCGGGGCTCATGTGAGGTTAGGTGGTGTCTTTTGAAGGGAGGCGATCGGTACTTTTCACAGTGCTAAAAGTTCGTCTTGTAACTTTCTCTAGGCATTCTATTTACCGTGGGTTATCCTGTTGTTCAACTTGATCGTTTCAAGCGCGTGAGTGTTCCCCAACATGCTCTTTTGCAAAGGGACCGAGGCTGGGGGTCCTCGTTCTCTGCTCTGGCACGGTGCTTTGTCCGTGGTGGTGGTGGTGGTGGGTGGGGTTAATACTGAGCTGCTGCCTGGGACTCTCCCCCCCCCCCCCCCTCCCCCCCCCCGGCTGGAGGCACTTTCCCGCTCACTGAAAGACCCTTGTCTTGTGGGAAGGGAAGCACTATGAGTGCTGGAGGAATGCCCTGTACAGCGGAGACCCTCCCCCACCATAGAAGAGGGCCTTGTGTGAGTAGAAGCAAGGCTTAGGATCCCAGCCTGAGTCTCGGCTATCTGCCGCCTGCTCCTCTTTACATTTATTTGACTAGCTAAACTTAACAGGCCGTTGTCTTTCCTTTGGGTTGGATCCCGGCAGCTTTCTTCATTCAGTTTCATTCAGTCCGCCTCCTTACTGCAGCCCCCGTCCCACATGGCTCTTGTGTACACAGACCCCGTGGTTTTATTTATTTATTTACTTCATTTATACCTCACTCCTCCCACCAAGCACTTTTACATCGTTCTCATCTTCCGTTTTATTTTATCTGCACAACAATCCTGTGAGGCGGGTTAGGCTGAGAGCGTGTGACTGGCCCAAGGTCACCCAGCGAGCTTCCACAGCCGAGTGAGGAGTTAAACTGCGGGGGGGGGGGGGTGTCTCTCCGATCCTAGTCCAACACTCTAAGCACAGCATCACGCTGGGTCTCAAAATGGAGTTTCCCCAGCATAGGGGAGCCAGTCTGGTGTAGTGGTTAAGAGCGGCGGACTCTAATCTGGAGAACCGGGTTTGATTCTCCACTCCTCTACATGCAGCTGCTGGGTGACCTTGGGTCAGTCCACGTTCTCTTAGAGCTGTTCTCTCCAGGACAGTTCTCGGAA